AGCGGCGCAGAATTCGAATCAAACTTTGAGAGCACCATTATTGGCCCGTACCGAACACAGATTCTCAAAGTCTCGGGAACACCGAAAGGACCGGGTGCCTTGAAGGTAACAGGCGCAATCATCCGTGTCCGCGGCTGTCGCGAGAGACGATTCCCCATATTCAAACAACCATGGACGCCGCAAGCAGATGTCAAGGTAAAGGCTACCGGACTTCAAGCCTTGGAAACTACCCTTGCCTCAGGAGCCCTTGTTGGCCAACCGCTGAAGGTAGAGAGTGTTGCATTGAATGTCATCCCTAAACAGCCCATTGTTATTGTCAAGTCGACAACGCTACCCCAGGCTTCCGTCATGGTGCTCGAGGGAGAGAGACAGGTGTTCTCTGTCACGTTGCAGAATCTCTCACAAACAACTCCAGTGGACTTTATGCTTTTCTCTTTCCAGGATTCCACGCAGGGACCGTTGCAGGCAGGCATCAACAACAGAGATGCTACGCCAGCCGAGTTGTACGAATACGAGTACATTCTGATGAGGCGCCAAGGTCTTCGAAGGTTGAACAAGAAGGAACCGGAGAAGCGATACATTGCCCCAGGAGGCACTGCCACATTTGATTTCGAAATCCTCGGCAAGCCAGGGTTGACCAACGCTGCCATTCAGATCGACTATGCCCATCTCGGGGTGCCTCCTGAGGAAGTGACGGACAAATTTCATACCCGACAGGTCTCGCTGCAGTTGACGGTCACTGTGAATGCTAGCGTCGAGCTCACGCGACTCGATATCCTGCCTCTCAGCGGTCCCGTTCCCAAGCCGCTTCTCAGTCTTACAAATCTGGAGTCAAAGGTCGATCCTTCGACATTGGCAGATGAATATTGTCTTTTGTCTATGGATTTGCGCAATGCTTGGCCGAACAATATGGAGGTCGAAATGGATGGGGAGGACGGTATTGTGATTGAGGAGCACGTTCTCCCAGGGAATACCAGTCGCGTTATCGTTCCCCTACGGCGCATTTACCTCGAGGACCCTCACGCATCGATCCCGGCACTCAACCCATCAAGACAGCGGCAATTTGTTGTGAGCACCAGCAAGATTACGCCCGACATGGAACGCTCGAATCGCGAAGCATTCTGGATGAGGGAAAACATACTGGAGACGCTCACAGCCAGATGGAAAACAGTATCCGGCCCAAAGCGAAGCGGTTACATAGACCTGAGAACCATTAGGCTTTCACCCAGGATGCTGGACGCTCTCAGGATTGATGATGTCGGCATCGAAATATCGGTACAGGACCCAGGCCAAACTGTAGGCGAAAAGGTCAAAGAGACGATACTTGTCGACAACTTCGTCCAGGTCAAGATTGGTATCACTAATCGGTCAGCCAAGCCAGTCTATCCGATGTTGAGACTGATGCCGGCCTTATGTCACCGTCCGTTAAACGTAGCGTTGGACTTTACGCGAAAATTTGCCTGGAACGGTACCTTACAGCAGGCACTTCCGCTGTTGGCGGCCAAGGCAACTACAGAGGTGGAGATTCAGGCCATGGCACTCTGTCGAGGAGAGTTCGAAATAGGGGCATCCGTTGAGGAGTACCAGATTTGGGAAGAGCCAAAGGAAAAGAAGGAGAAGGAAGAGACACAAGAGAGCCGACAGCGATCGGACACTCAGACGATGCTCAACGCGATCATTGGTGCGAAGGAAAGGCGCATATGGCACTCAAGGCAACCCTGTATCATCAAAGTGGTGGATCAGGACTAGCGACTCGAGCCATTCACATGACGGACGAACTGTATGATGGTGGACATGTAGAAGAAGTGATTCACACCATGGTGGAGTTGGCGATCGCAGCGGCCTCCAATAAGTAGATAATTGACTTCTTGATAGACGACTCAAGCCGCTACCAATTCTTGACTAGCTGCGACGGGTTCAAGCAAGGTCCAATCCAGGGATAACTCGATCAGCCCGGCGATCGAATTAAGCTCATCCCTGCGTCCCGAACAAAGGGCTCACGGGCGATTCATGCGTGGGTCTGACCGCCTTCTCGTTTCTGCTTGTTGCCACCAAATTTTCCTTAGGGAGCGGCTTTCCGGTGCTAGCCGACAGCGGGCCTTTTTACCAACCCAAAGAGATCCGTTTCCGCCGTACGAGCTTTGGTCAAGCCATTCCCGTTTTGCGAGCGTTGCATTCGAGGTTGTCACTGTCGTCGTCTTAAAAGGAAAATCCGGGATCTCACTAATAACCAAGGATGACGCGACCTCAGATTCTGTTTCTCGATGCGTACGATTCCTTTACGAACAATATCGTATCCCTTCTCACAACCCTGCTTGACGCCGATGTACACGTTTTGCCGATTGACACGCCCTTGCTAGATCAAAACTCGCCGACGTTCTCGGTCGATTTTCATCGGGAATTATCACGGTATCATGCAGTAGTCTGCGGACCTGGGCCGGGCTCCCCCGAGAATGAAAAGGATGTTGGGCTCATGAGATGTATTTGGACATTGCAAGATGAGCACATGCTGCCGGTTCTTGGCATTTGCCTTGGGTTCCAGAGCCTCGTCCTCAGCTCGGGCGGTAAAGTGAGGAGGCTTCAACGCGGGTTGCATGGGATGGTTCGCACTATTCAGCATAGGAAACCTGAAGCGACGTGCGCCGAGGACATCTTTGATGGTGTCTCCGAGTTCAAGGCAACTCTCTATCACAGCCTGTGTGCCGACATCGGACAAGATTCCATCTCAGATTCCACTTGGGCAGAGTGCCGTTGGCGTCCCCAGAAGACGGCTCTTGAGCTGTTGCCTCTGGCGTGGGTGGATGAAGAAAGGGACAGCGGCCGCGAGAGAATCCTCATGGCGGTCAAGCACCAGAGCAAACCCTTTTGGGGCCTCCAGTACCACCCAGAGTCCGTCTGCACCCAGCCGGCAGGTCATTCGGTCATCAGCAACTGGCTGCGCGAAGCCATGGCGTGGAACTTGAAGGCGAACAGGACTGTTTTGACCGGAGAGCGATTCCTGGCAAGGAACGCAGTGAAACCGAGTCTCCTCTGTGAGAACCGCGCCGCGGCTCAGCAAGGGAACGCCCCGATCCTCGAGTGGACGGAGATGCCCACGCCCCTGGCGACTGTCGGGCTCGACTGCGAGTACCGATACAAGACCATCAGCCTTCCGGCGAACGTCAAGGTGCCGGATATCGTGGAAATACTAAAGAGCGGCAGGACGGAGCACATCATTTTGGATTCGTCCAACTCGAGCAACATGGCGACAGGGGCTGCGGACGTCCGGGGCCGATTCAGTGTCATTGCTCTGGATGTGGAGGAGTCACTGCGAATCGAGCATCATGTGGGAGACGATTTCGCCACGGCCCGGGTCCCATCGATTCAGGGGCTGCCCGTCGACCTGGTGGAGACTGTTCCCTTCGGGTCGCAAAGGAACATTTGGCATCTCCTCTCCGGTTTCCTAGAGAAGCGACGCATCCCTGCCTCGGGGGGGCTCCAGACACCGTTCCGAGGAGGTTTCATGGGCTACCTTACGTACGAGATGGGACTAAAGGGGATCGACGTGGCGGTGGCTGCTGGAAGAGGGCATCAGAGGCCCGACTTATGCTTCGCTTGGGTAACGAAGAGTATCGTGGTCGATCACGTCAAGGGCTTGTTGCACGTCCAGCACCTTCAGAAGCGTAAACTCAATGCCGACTTCTGGATCGACTCCGTGGTGGCATCGCTGCAGACGTCCCACTTTTGGCAATCACCGGGCAAGACCACCGTCAACGGTTCGGATGCTTCGACGGTAGCCACGCGGCCCGTTATCCGGGTCCCCGCCGCCGACGAGTACGAAGGCAAGGTCTCGCGCTGTCAAGACTTCATCGCCGCCGGCGAGTCCTACGAGCTGTGCCTGACGGACCAGACGACAATCACATTACCCGGACGCCGAACAGGGGAACACCAAAACGGCCTCGCCAACGGACACCTGTCTTCAGAACAGGTGCAAAACAAATCCGCACACGTTGCGCCCTGGAGGCTCTACAAGACGCTCAGAGCCCGCCAGCCCGCGCCCTTTGGCTCCTTCATCCGCCTCGGCGGCGCGACCCTGATCAGCAGCTCCCCGGAGCGCTTCCTCGAGTACGACGCCGATGGTTTCTGCTCTATGCGGCCGATGAAGGGCACCGTCCGCAAGTCGAACCAGGTCGCCACGCTGGCGCAGGCCGAGGCGATCCTGCACGTGCCCAAGGAGGAGGCGGAGAACCTCATGATTGTAGACCTCGTCCGCCACGACCTGCACGGCGTCTGCGGCTCCGGCAACGTCACGGTGCCGCACTTGATGAAGGTGGAGGAGTATGCGACCGTTTTCCAGATGATTACGATTGTCAACGGACAGCTGCCGAAGCCCAAGACGACCACGACGACGGGTGCCGATCGTCAGCACACGGGGCTCGATGTCCTCGCGGCTAGTCTCCCGCCGGGCAGCATGACGGGAGCCCCGAAGAAGCGGAGCTGCGAGCTGCTGCAGGAGATTGAAGAGCATAGGGAGAGGAGTCTGTACTCTGGCGTGGTGGGGTACATGGACGTCACTGGAAAGGGGGACTGGAGCGTCACGATCCGAACGATGTTCAAGTGGGATGATGAAGCTGCGCCGCCGGAGGAAGGCGAGACGGAGCCGAGAGAGGTCTGGCATATTGGAGCCGGCGGTGCCGTGACTATTCTGAGCACTGCCGAGGGTGAGAGGGAGGAGATGTTCACGAAGTTGGCGGGGCCTTTGGGCGTCTTTGCGGAAGCATGAACGGGTTCGGGATTTGGGGACTGATTGGGAGGAGGGGACCTCGCAATTTTTGGAATTGGTTTACAGGCGTTTTACATGTCATGAAGGGGGATATTCATGGTAAGGGGGGATTTTGGTTGATACCTCAACGTATCTGGGATATTAGACTCTGGACCTTCACGGGTATTAGACTCAACTTTTAGACGACCCGGATCATCCACACGAAACTAGTAGAAAAAACAAGATCATCGTTCAATAATCCATGTTTACGCTATCAGCTTTCCGCAGTCGGTCATTGGGAATTAGATGGTCTTGTCGTTGCATAACAAAAGCGAAAAAAGGAGGAAACGCCCGCCTGACGGAATGATGCTGGATATACATGTGAAACCTCCAAGTAAAGCGCACCCCGTTCCAAATCCCACTTTGCCGGATTCCCGAACCCGAGCGCCACAATGGTTTCCGACCTCGTCTCGTCGTACTGTACACGTCTGCCGCCAATTTGGTTGAAATGCGTATGCCCTCCATCACTGCTCTGCTGCTGCTGCTGCTGCTGCTGACACTACTTCCCCATCGCCTACTCATAGCTGTATCAATTGTCCCCAGTCGTTGCTCCCGACGCTAGTCAGAAGTCCTGCTCCTCCTGAAAGAACATGCCGAAGCTGATGATGGTTCCGTAAATGAGGAGGCCGCCGATTATCGACATGACCATGGCCTCAACCTGGATGAGATCGGAGTGGGCGAGTACGACCGGCAGGGCTGCGATAGAAGGGCATGATTAGCAACACGATTCTCCCAATGAACAAAGACAAAAGAGCCGCAAGGGGGAAGGAGGAGCTCACCAATTCCCATAACCACCATGAAACCAGTGCAGAAGCGGCCGAGGTCCAGTACGGCGGAGCCGGAACCCTCACCAAAGTCATCAGGGTTGGTGCATCGCGAGCAGACCCAGTTGGGGATCGGGGCCAACACGTAGGTAGCGACGACGAGAAGCGGGTAGTAGACCTTCCAGAGGGCGCAGGAGAGGATGACGAGGAGGAATCCGACGGCGAGGACGAAGGAAAGGGCGATGATAGTCTTGAGCCCGGCGGTCGGCATCTTGGATATCGTTGGAAGGTGGGCTGTGGTGTACTTGTTTCGGACGGGTATCGAAGTCGGAGCTTGGTATAGACGGCCCCGCCGGGGGTGCAAATGTATTCCTTTGGGATTTCCTTAGGAATTCGGTTGAGAGCTCCGGGCGGCGATCGTTTCTTGCAATTAGGCCGTCTTTTGAATAGTTGTGGGGGAGCTTCGTGGTGGTGGAGGATGAATCGGTCGTGTCGGTCGTGTCGTAGTTCGCGGCTAGGCTGGCAGGCTGAGCTGCGATGCGATGGCGGGTCCCAGGCCTGACGCACGAAGGCCGTCGTCAGCGCACGGCGCAACCTTGTTCCAGCAGCCGGACACCCTCCAATGACAACCCGCAAAGAGTGGAAGGTCTCCACTCGGAAAGACCCCGGCTGTGAGTGAGGTCAGGTACGGGGGCAGGAAAGTGTACGTACCTCAGCGAGGGATGCACGGAGCACCTTGCACCCTGGCACCTGGCTCCAGGCTGAGAGAGTGCTACGAAAGCTCGACCTGCCTTGAGCTGGGCCTGGCGTGCGGGAGGGACGCTTTATTATCCACCAAGCTGTCTCTCGCTCTCCCATCACCGACCTGCTCGCCCAACAACCACCCCACGATCGAATCTCTCCCTCCCGTCTCCCTCAACCATCCACGATCCGCTAAACGAATACTCCAAATTCCTCCCGTTTTCAGAAACCGCCGATCCGCCTGACGAAGCTACGAATCACCCCTCACGCCCGCCATGTTCAGAAACAATTACGACAACGACTCGGTGACATTGTAAGCTGTTTGGCCCGCTTCCTCAGCCTTCCCTTCCAGTCTCCCCGACTCCGCCATGAAGGAGGCCAGCATAAAGATGGAGTGCTAACCTTCAACGTCTCACAGCTCGCCGCAAGGCCGGATATTCCAGATCGAGTATGCAGCCGAAGCAGTGAAGCAGGGTTCCGTGGTAGTGGGCATTGCCAGCAAAACACACGCCGTTCTAGTAGCAATCAAGGTACGACGTTTGCCGATACCTGGGACCTTCCCATGTTGCCTCTCCCTACATCATCCGTTATCAATCGATGCTCGCGGACCTTTGCTATAGAGCGCATGAAGCTAATATGCCATTCTTTCCCCAATAGCGCAACGCCGAAGAGCTGTCCTCGTACCAAAAGAAGATCTTCACCGTCGATGAGCACTCCGGTATCGCCATCGCAGGCCTCACCTCGGACGCCCGCGTCCTCTCCAACTTCATGAAGCAGCAGTGCCTCGGCCACCGCATGACGTACGGTCGCTCAATGCCCCTCCGCACCCTCGTCGACATGATTGGCGAAAAGGCCCAGATCAACACCCAGGTCTACGGCAAGCGACCCTACGGTGTCGGCCTCCTAGTTGCCGGCGTCGACGAGCGCGGTCCCCATCTCTTCGAATTCCAGCCCAGCGGTATGACGGAGGAGATGGTTGCCTTCGCCATCGGCGCCCGCAGCCAGATGGCCCGCACCTACCTCGAGCGCAACATCGACGCCTTCGAGACGTGCTCCCGCGAGGAGCTCGTGCAACACGGCCTCAAGGCCCTCAAGGAGAGTTTGGTTCAGGACCGCGAGTTGACGGTCGAGAACACCAGTGTCGGTGTCGTCGGCTACACCGAGAAGGATGGTGTCAAGACGGTCCAGCCATTCAAGCTGTACGACGGCCAAGACGTCAAGGAGTGGCTCGACAGTGTCGCCGCTAGCGAGAGCCAGGGCGGCGGCGAAGAGGGCGGTGAGGGTATGGAGGTTGACGGCTAAGCGTTGTGGAAATCATGAATTGAGGAAAGATGCGCGGATGGGCTTCTACGCTGCGTTGCGTTGGGCTAGGCCGGATCGTCGCCAAACAACCTCCTATCCGGGGGTTTGGCTGACTGGACACGGCTATGGGAAAGAGACTCACCGTCCTCGAACGCACAGAGCCGGCCCGTTTAGACTTGTACCAATACACTGCAAAAAGGAGATTCGACGGCCCAAAAATGAGCTGCATCCGATGACTCAAGAGATAGGAAGACACGCAATCTATGTGCTCACTGGTGAACCGGAGCCTGAGACAGGTACCTGAAGATGCAGGTTTGCTTTATTGGGTTGTGTAACTCATGAAGGTCTATCAAACTACAATACGTGCAGCCAACACCGATGTGACATGATAGATAGCCGACCGATCCCCCGTCCATACCCCTTTCTTTGAATGTCTTGTTCCGCGTGTCACCAACGATCGGAGTGGAGGGAAAAAGACTCACTTTCCTCGCTTCGCTTCATTTTATCCAACCGGACCACCTACCGAGCCTGAACGTATAGGAGTTGGGAAACACGAAAGGGCGCCAAGACTCCGGTACGCATCCGCTTTTACATTGCACACACCATCTATCTTTCTCCGTCTCTGGTTCCTGCACACAAAGTTCCGTTTTTTGGAAAGCATTGCCGACAGACTACCAATATGATCTAAGAGTTGGTCCAGTCGAGCTTGAAGGTGGCCGCGGAGACCTGGTAATCCCTGAGCGCCGTGATGGCACCCTCGGGGGTGGTAGCGGTGACGAGGATGTCGGCGTTGGCGGCCTTGATGAAGCCCTCCTCGACACTCTTGTTCACCCACTCGAGGATGCCGTCGTAGAAGCCGTTGATGTTGAGGAGACAGATGCCCTTGTCGTGGATGCCCAGCTGGTTCCAGGTGGCCGTCTCGAGAACCTCCTCGATGGTGCCGTAGCCGCCGGGCAGGGCGACAAAGCCGCTGCCGGGGCCGCCGGCGAAGACCTCCTTGGCCATCATCTGCTTGCGGGTGTGCATGTCCTTGACAACGGTGGTGCGGCCGTAGACGGTCTCGTCGGGGACGTACATGTTGTCCTTGTTGATGGTGCCGTAGGTGCCGTCACGCTCATACTTGACGAGGGCCTCGGGGATGATGCCGTGGACCGAGTCCGGACCGGCGAGGGAAACGAGAGTCTTTGCCACCTCTCCCATCAGACCGACGGTTCCACCACCGTAGACTGAGATGTTTGTTAGTATATCATGAACTAGAGACACATTGGTTGAGGTTTTGCCTCCTATGTTTCATCTTGTCTGAGAAGGGTTGCGCCACATGTTGTCATTGATGTAGTGACTCGGACTTTATCGCTGCCCAAATCGTGGATGGAGTTGGGGAGTCGACAGATTTGAGTGAGATGAGGTGCGGAAAAGGACCAGTGACTCACCAAGATCAATGTTGTTCTCAGCCATGATTCTTGCTAACTCACGGGCGGCTTCCATGTGCTGAGGCTTGAAACCGGGAGAGGCGCCGCAGTAGACGCAAATCTTGGTTCTCTTCACCACGCCATTCGTGGTACCGTTGGTGCCATTGGTGTTACCATTCGTGGTTCCGTTGGTGTTGGTGCCGTTGCCACTGGGTGTGCCATCCCGGGATGCCGGGAATGATGGCAGGGGAGAAGGGCCGCCGGACTGCATGATGTTCGTTGCTTGCTTGATCTGTGATGAAAAAGGGTTTTGCTATAGGATGAACTCCCAACTAAAGTGATTCTTGGGCTTCGAGGTAGGATTTTTGTTGAAGAGGGGAGAAAATGCTAGAGTAAGTAGTTTGCGAGTGAGATGGTACTCAGTCTTTACACCAAGAGGCGCAGTTATTGGAGGTGAAGATGACGGAGGATTTGTGGAGAAAGATAGTATGAGGTTCCGTTCCGGCCAAGAGACAAGAGTCACAACGGAAAGAAAGTACCCGGAAGACGCCGCCTTTTTCTGCGGTATTTCCTCAAGGTTGTGACTTTGGGAAAAGAATCCAAGTCCACAAAAGATCAGAGAAGAAGAGCCCAAGAGAGAAACTGAAAGTTAGGGGAATAGGCAGATGGCGGTGAAAAAGAGCGCTGTTATATACGTTCCTCTCGAGACCCAAAAAGGGATGCTAGTTTGTGTTCTTGGTTGGGATGAGCTCAGGGCAAGTGGACAAGTGTGTTGTTGGCGAGTTGGTGTATCAATTATCCTAGCAACCACCTGAAGGGCAATAAGAAAGAAAAAGAAAAGAAAGATTGGACGAGGCGAGAGGAAGCACAGATGGGAATGAGACAACGAGATGTCAGTTACCGCCACGGCGCATGGCGACGGGCCGAAGTTCTGGGTTTAGCGTACTAGCTGGGACAATCAATGGCTTCGAAGGGTTCGCTCGGGGATCCGTGGCTCCAGTGCCGGTACAGTAGTGTAGGCTTTAGTCGATGCGTGGTATTCCAGCTGGGGAGGAAAAGCAAAGCAGACTCCAGACTCAGAGAGCCCCCTTCCCCCTCACTGGTTCCTAAACCAGAGACAAGGAACGGGGTTGGGTGACGGTGGTTGACATGGACGTGGACTTGGGACGGTGACGGGGGAACCAGAAGACGGATCCGGGACCTGGGGCTAGCAGTAGCACATTGTACCCTAAGATGGAGAGGTACCTTTGTAGAAAGTCTGATACACTTTTCATCGACTCTGTTGAACTTGACTGGTTCAACCGTTCCCCAGACCTGATGGGTTCGAGGGCACCCTAGTTTGCCTGCGTGTATGGTTTGTCAACTTGTTACGCTGCGACTGGCCCGCACCAGTGAAGTGTCCATGTGACATGTCGGAGGCGAGGTCCGAGTCCAATGTAGTGCGTAATTCAACCTCGACGACCCTAAAGCTGGGTTTGGCTAGGTCCGTCCCGCGGGGATGTCCATCCGGAGCTGGGAATAGGGAGCCGGGAAGAGTCAAGTCATCGATCGAAACTCAAGAGCCTCAATGATCGAGCGTTCCAGGCACCATTCTGCGTAGACTGTCAACTTTCAACTACCCAAATAGATGATCTGGTAAGGTAGCTGCAGTAGTGTCAAAGGTGAAGAAGAACGGAAAATGGGAGAGACAAGAGAGAGTAGGGTAAAAACGAATGTCTCTCGATTCGAGGGCGGTCGCGAATACTCGGTATGACAAACGACAGACACCCGCGTGTGCAACGTGCTGCTGACGAATGGACGGAATGGGCCACGGGAGGCCGTGTTCGATGTCGATTGGGCTGGTTTTTGATTGTACGTGTACGTGGGTTGTCAAGATGACGGACAAGACGATGTACAAGAGATCTTTCTAGTCTTCAATGGAACCCAATCAATCGCCCACTACTTCCCAATCAAGCCAGGATGGAACACCGAAGGTACAGAAGTTCAATGCCTCTTTGGCAGGTGCATCTAGCATCGATACTGCACTTCCAGCAGCTATTTGTTTCCCCTTCAGCGTCTTGGCCCCCTGTTTCCCCCCAAGCCTACCACGCCATTCTGCTGGGATCGTGGCGGCGCCTCGGCCGTTGATTCGCCCGCACAGCACGCAATCTGTCCCGCCCGCCACCCAGCCTCCAGGGTCCAGTTTGCGATCCAGCGCTTTCCAAATTCCGGGGCCATGTCAATCCAATCTCCGTGAAGACTTTCCGACTTCACTCCTCCAGCACCCGATATCGCTGGCATCCTCGGTATCTGCGCCGGAGAAAGACACGGTTTCACTTGTCATCCTACTTGACCAGTTGCTATCATTGCAACTATCAGTAGCCGAGCTGCCATACGCCATCGGTAGCCGAGTCCGCCGTGCGACGTCTCCGCATCGCTTCTCACGAGCACGCGATCTGTCCTCCGCAGCTTCGCGATTTTCAACATCATCTCTCTAGAGACATTGTAGCGCATTGTGCAAGATGTCTCAACCCGCAGCAGCAGCCGGCGCTCGCCCTGCTGGCCAGCAGCAGGAGCAAGGCGTGAGTATCTTACCCATGCCCACCGCGAATCGCGCCGAGAGGCCTTGAACTAATGTACCATGATCGCAGGGCATAAGCTTGACGCAAAAGCTGCTACTTGGAGCTTCTATGTACTTCGGCATGAACTTGCTCATGAACAATATGTTCTCCAAGACGCAATCCGGTACCCAGGTCAAAGATGCCGACGGCAATGTTGTCAACGTACCCGCGAACACCGAAGACATTCCGCCCTACCTGCTCCGCCCTAAGGAATTGGACGAGGGTGCGACCTGGAGCCAGATCCCGCGCAAGTTGGCACCTATATGGCCAATGGATAGCTACATCGACGTGACCGTCACCCTTTCCGACACCTTTGTTCCGATTCCTCTGGCCCAAACGCCCCCGGAAAAGGTTGTTCTTAAGGAGGAGAAATTCAAAATTGGCAACTACAGCGAAAAACGCTCCATTGATACCACTATCGAGGTACCGCCCTCTGTGCAGAACAATGGTACTCTCTGGGGCCACTTCTACGTTTCACTGCCCGGTAGCCAGCCCGATCCTCATGTTGAGACCTACGACCCAGCCTCTGCCTATTACTTTGCGTTCCCTCTCACTCAGTACATCCCCAAGAAGAAGGAGTTCAAGACCAGATCCCTTCTCGAGGGCAAGGCCGAGGAGGTGGTGGAAGAGGTGGCAGAGGAACAGGAGACTGGCCCCGTCATTGCCAGTTACTACCACCCGAATGCCAGCTTCTCCATCATCCCAAACACTGGAGTGCTCGATTACCGCCAAACCCATCCCGCGATTCGCCAGTTCCTCCATGTCGAGCCGACTGGTGCCAGAGATGGCTCCGGCCAGCATTCTTGGTATTGTGAGTTGCCCTTTGTGCTATTCTTGGCGGACAGAACTAACTGTCATAGACCCTATTCTGTTTGTCAATACCTTTTGGCAACTTAAGAGTCAAATGATCCTGCTCAATGACACCGTCACGTCTGTTCCTCTGCACATTGATTTGAACAACATGCGTTCATGGCAATTCAACACTCTGGCCGCGATTGAGGCCAGTGCCAAGGAGTCGGCACGCCAGGCTGCTTACGGCGGATCGCTGCCCGGTGGCGGCGACGGCTCTGAGATTGAAATGGTCAAGGAGATCTTTGGCGACACGAACCCGATTCTCCTCGGCATTACCATTATTGTCAGTATTGCGCACATGATCCTGGAGACGCTTGCTTTCGGTTCCGACATTGCGCATTACCGCAAGAAGAAGGATAACGTCGGCATCTCGGTCCGTTCCATCCTGGCGAACGTTTTCATGCAGTCCGTGATCCTGCTTTACCTCATCGACAACTCGCAAAATACCAGCTGGATGATTCTGGGTGGTCAGGGTATCGGCATCGTTATTGAGCTGTGGAAGATCACCACCATTGTCAACGTTGCAGTCAAGGCTGCGCCAGCAGGCTCATTGCTGCCGTTCAAGATCGTCGTCGAGGACAAGCACAAGCTCAGCGAGACGGAGGAAAAGACCAAAGAGTACGACGAGATTGCCTTCAAGTATATGTACATGGCGGGTGTGCCTCTGCTCATCGGTTACGCCATCTACTCGCTGGTCTACGAGACGCACAAGTCTTGGTACTCGTACATTATCGCCACGCTCGTCGGATCGGTGTATGCTTACGGCTTCCTCATGATGGTTCCTTCGCTTTACATCAACTACCGACTCAAGAGTGTTGCACACATGCCTGGCAAGGCCATGATCTACAAGTTCCTCAACACCTTTATCGACGACCTTTTTGCATTCACCATCAAGATGCCGTTCCTCCACCGTCTGTCGACTTTCCGCGACGACATCATCTTCTTCATCTACCTCTACCAGCGCTGGGCTTACAGAATCGACTACTCTCGTGTCAACGAGTTCGGCCAGGGTGGTGAGGATGAAGAGGACGATGCGGCTAAGGCCAAGGCCAAGGAGCTGCTTGAGACCGACCCCACTGTCGAGAAGGTAAAGCAAGTGGCGGGTAAGGCTACGGGTGCCGACACCGGCAAGGCGAAGAAGAGAAAGTAAATAGTTGATGTTATACGGCTGAGGAAGAGAGTGCAGCCAGTATCTTGTACATCAGGGGGTCGGGCACAAGTAATACACATGAGCCTTGGCAGCTACGTGTCCAGAGTACTGCCTAATGACTAGCATGGATGGGACATAACTAGTCGAGACATGAGGCTACAAATGTGATCAAGTCCAGTCTTCATCGCAACTCACATATCTCGCGCATGGTGCATCTCATATGCAAAAGCACATCAAACTACCACATGCACGCTTGGACAGAGGACGAGACGACTAAGAAAGTGTTGAGGAAAAGCAACAAGTAAATGTTCAGCTGAAAAGGGGGCTCCGCATGTCTGTGTACAAGGGAGACCGGACAAGCCAAGTCAAGTGAAAATCTGGGCAGAAGATCCAACAGACATCCGTATTCTGTACGTATAATTGCTACCTTAACACGTTTGCAACATCCCACCGGACAGATCGGTGATTTGCCTTTTGTAAGGTCCACGGCCCACGGGTAGAAGAATTGCCCCCTCTTCGCGGCACGGAAACTCTTCTGAGGGTCGCTTCGCGGCTAAAGATGCCGTTGAGAGACGTGACAGACTACTTGGTAAGGTAAGAGTGCCCCCCGAACCGAACAGGGGCCCCGGCAGAAGAGTCGCTTGGCGGGGGGTTCGCAGCTGTCGGAGCCCCGTGCCTGGTAGGGCAGAGACAAGCTCGTATGTCACCGCGCCTATCAGAGAGTCCCATTGGGGAACCTGGAAGGGCCCGAAGAGGGATGACGCCAGGTCCCCCTCCAACGGTGGTGTTTTGGGGCTGGGATAGTGCCAGCTCCACGTTCTGCTTGCTCTTGTTCTTCGATTGAGGTGCCTCACCTCAACTTACATGCTAGGCTATTCATAAGGCAAGGTGCTGGTAAGGTATTCGTAGACGGTAATCAAGCACGTTGCCTTGAGGTAAGGTCAGCACGTAATAAGGTAGGGTACCTAGGCATCCATAGCTCATCCCCTACCACCTAGACTCCTAGTACCCGAGTTATGGACCATGTGGCATGGAGACCTTTTAGTGTCGGTCTTTCGTCAAAAGGTGGAGAATTGCGGGATCTGTATACCGAAAATAGTTCACAGTGATTGCCGTCGTTCCTGAGCTGCATAGCAAATAGCTCTTGGCCTCTCCTGAACTCGGTTGATCGGATCGTGTCCACGCAATGCAGTGTTTGAATGGAATGGATTCAAGGTGAAGGTAGAATGTGTATTTCGTAAGATGAACGTGAGGTGGTTCTGGAGGTTTCATGGAAGGTGACGGGATTCGGGAAGCAAACAAGAAAGGCTCCCCTTGGACCCTCTCCAGTTGGGGCCTTGCAAATGTCATCGACAATACGAAGAGTTAAAAGTTGCCCAAAGCAGTCATGGCTGACCAGGTCATCCACTCTCAGAGGCACCCTCAAAACCTAAAGTTCCCTCGACCTTCCTCCGTCTCTGACAGCCGCATAATACTTGTCTTTTACAAGTTAGGAGGATTGGATCCAGTCCGTTCCTTCCTTCGCCCAGCCAGCGCAGTCAACCAAACACACACACCGGGACCAACCAACCAAGGGAAAATAAACGACCGAACGCAATCTTTCTCAAACTCTCCAGTCTCATTTTCTTTCGCTCTGATTTCCGTGTCCTTCTGTCTCGTACCTTTTCTTTTCCCTAAACTTTCTTCCCACATTCCTGCCTGCACTACACTTCCATCCTTTCACCACGTTGCCCTTCGACGTTTTCCCCGTTGCCGTCGCGTGGGTTCCTCCCCTACCTACCTTATTCAACCTCCGTTTGAGCCTCTCGATCCCTCCGTTTGTCACATGCCCGGGTTCCCCCGTCCATCCCTCCAAGTTCGTCCCATGCGTCCGCTCCGGTTATGACATACGGACGGCCGCATAGGGTCCCCCAGCAACAACCACTTCGAGAAATTTACTTTGAAGCCTGCCTAGCACGCTTCAGAGAGCACAAGCACAGGCACACAGGCACACAAGCCACACCCAAAAGGTCGCCGGACTACAGCGAAAGCACCCGCCAAGCAGAGCTCCGGACCTTCGGTTCGATCGACGGGGATTCGAGGTCCACGCTGCCTCGTACGCAGTGGACAGTGGAGTTCCACAACGCGTACCTGACGTCTCTCACCATCCCAAATAGGGTCGTCCCCGGCACCCCGTTCGCTCCAAGGGGAGGGAGCCAAGGCCTACTCTACGGGAAACGTAAGCTACAAAACCTGTTCGGACGGTGTGGCCGTGCCGCCCGCGTGCCCGCGCCCGCCGTCCGTCATTCACTTCGCTCCAGCTCCAGCTCCAGTCCCCTGATCCCCCAGTCGGGATATTTTACCCCCCAAAGGGCCCAAAGGGGGCGCTCCTACGCCCATTTATCATTGGGGCGCGCGCCGCACCGCACCGCCAAAATCCGACTACCCCTCGATCTCATTGTTGTGCGCCGTCGCCGCCAAGCAACACTCTCCTGATCCCCCCAACAATTCCCTCGAAAAGGACACTTTCGAGGGAATCGGAGGGCTCGCCGAATCATGAGCAGCCCTACCGTCGGGTCCCTTCTGGCTGCCATTGCGATACTCGTCAGCGATGGCCTGCGTATCTTGAAGTTCGCCGATAAGCGCCAATGGGGACCTGACGAGCACGAGCAATTGCGCCTGCTGGAGGATACCCTCGACGACGCCAAGAAAGACTTTCAGGAGCTATCTGTCCTTGTCAACGGACAGCGCTATTACATGAACGACCGCAAACGTGAGTCCACGAGCACACTTACACCGTTCTTGATTGCTTTGCGCTGGCTTGGGAGCTTGGTCGAGACTTTCCAGAGCCCTGCCGTGCAGCGGAGGGAGGGAGGCCTCTGCGATTACCAGCCAGCTCCCCGTCAAATCTCGCTTCCTGCTAGCTCACCTCACGCACAGCTGGCTATATATGAACCCTTGCTAACTATGTCGCCTTCAAGCTCCGTCGATAGCCGAGTTGCGAGCTTTACAGTCAAAGGTTGAGCATCATATCGACAACTTTCAAGATTGGGCGAGAACAGGCGGACCGATCAATCCGGTATGGGCACGAGAAACGACGCAACTGCGCCGCGAACTGCATCGCGCACAATGCCGAGCGGCTAGGAGGATATTCGCGGCTGAGCAAGAGGCCTCGGCAAGATGCCTGGGCGCCTTTCTCGTCTACAGAAAACAGCGGGAATGGCAGAGTCGGCCAGCTACTTCGGAGGAGGAACACCATCGACGACACGTGGAAGAGGTAGTAGCATGCAACACGAGTGGCAAGTTTGAGCGGTTTGGCGACGGAGGCATCGCATTCGTTTGCGACTTTTGCGACGGCCATCTTGTATGGGAGGACCTGGAGAGCATGCCATCATTACGGACAGCTGAAGAATCCAGCACGCGCCCAGTACCGCCTATTTCGCCCACGACCGGGATGCCAAATTGGCAGGCAACCGGGTTCACAGCCGATAAACGAAGAGAGGAGAAGACGGTCATATTTGCGCCTCTGGCTATAGCGAATCATATGGCGCCATATCAGGGAGACTGGGTAGCTCGACTCCTGTGTCCCTTTTGCGATGAGGCGCCATACACCGAGGCAGGCGGTGATAGCGACGACGAAATGCGGAATGCCCAGGACGAATCCGGCTTCGAAGATCTACAGGCCTTCCAGGAGCACCTAGAGTGGCAACACACAGCTGCATCGATACCCGCAGTCCCCTTGCCCAAGGCAGCCAAGGACTGCGTGGTGATGTGACATCATTAATTCGACAACGATGTTTATTGGTGGCGTAAAAATGGCGGTTCGTTCGTGTACATATATTCACGTTGTGTGGTCTTGACAATGGCGAGGCGTTGGGGGCTTCCAAAGAGGGCGGACGATATCTCATCCGCACCTACGACTTATGGAATTATCATTTACTTTATTCGATGGCAGAAGGCTTTCCACCCCCTCAAGTGTTGGGGATGGCCCTCACGACCGGTCTGGACAGACCCATGCAGCAACAGAGATACCATGGTCAGGTAGTGCTGGATCATAATCCACATTCAAGACGCAAAAACCAATTCTTGTTTTGTTGCCCCTCTCCGTCTTCCCCTGCATCCGCCTGAGAAGTCCGTGCCGTAATTTGATTGATGTACATGAATCAAGAAAGATATACACAGTCGCCAACATAACGCCCAACATCGTCAAAGAACCTTTGCCTTTCTCAGGCCAAAGGATCCAATGCTCCCCAGAGGAAGGGAAGCAAACCGTTCCTTGTCCTCGTTCGCACCGCCAAAGGAGGCGAACCAAACCTCAAGCCCCCACTTTAGAAGAACCGCCACCAAAAGAAGACGATGACAATGAACCCCAGCGCTCCGAGGGGGCCGTACTGCTTGAGCAGCAGCTCCCAGTTGATCCTCACGGCGGCGCGCCTGTACTTTTTGCTGTCGTCGCGCAGGCGGGAGCTGAGCTCGCCCATGCGCTCGAGGGAGTCGCCGCGGTACAGGAGGTCCTCGATGTTCTTCGTCATGACCTTGGTCACGTCGCGCAGCTCGTCGTTGAGCTTGTCGAGGTTCTGGGAGGCGCGGGCGTCCGAGTAGGTCGATTTCGTGCGGGAGATGAAGGTGTCGAACTCCATGAAGGCGTAGGGGCGGAGGGAGGGGGAGTGGAGCTGGGCGACGGGGTAGGTCGTCGTGAACTCGCGGGCGAGGTCGGAGAGGTAGGTGAAGGCTAGCTTGCGCGGGTAGGATTTGTCTGTTATGCAGATGAAGGTGATGTCCGAGTCCATTAGGTAGCTGTTGTGGGGCACAACGGTGGTTAGCAAGAGTTCCTTCTTCTTCTGCTTCTTCTTCTTCTTCTTTCGGCTGGCTCCTCTCGGTGTAAAAGGGGTAGACAGGAGAGGGGTAGACGGACTTTAGGTTGTAGGCGCCGCTTTCGATGCTGGCTTGGGGTTCCGAGTTGCGGGTGAGCTTGCGCAGGACTTGCTTGATTTGCGACTTGACTTCGGAGAGGGCTGCTTCTTGTTGCTCGTCGTCGACGGAAGCGCAGAGCATGAGGCCTGGGGAGCTGGGTGTTAGCTGAAGGTAACTTTTGGTATGGGGATGGGTGCGCGCGCGCGCGTGCGTACCGTCGAGCCTTGCTATTTGAGTTGAGCGGATCATTGTGTGTGTATGTGTTTGCTTGCGTGTGGTAGTTGGAAAGGTATCTGCCGTCGCTCGTAGGTCAAGAGGGTAGGTATAGCAAAGGAGTTGTAGACGGTCGGTTGGTGTTGTATTGACGTGTCCTCTGAGGAAGCTTCGATGCCTATTCTTAGGCTATCCGGATGTGCGGGTTGACGAGAGGTTGTACTCGAGTGGCTTGGTATCTCCGACTGGGTTGATCAAGTCACGGTACCTTATTTTCCTATCGTTGTGTTCGTTGTTGTGTTCTTTTTCCGAGCTAGGGGTGGTCGCTTTTTCGCTAGCAAGTAAACCAAAAAACCAAGGATCGCCGTCGACAATACGTCCGGGCTGTAATAGGGACGGGAGCTCTCCACGTACTAGTATTGAAGATGACACCATGGGCAGTCATCACTGGCCAATTGAAGGGCTTGCGCGGGGGTGTAGCCCCTGCGTATTTGGTGGTCGATGTGGCGCCCGTGGCTCGGTCCATCCAGCCTTGTTTAGGTACTGCGTACTGAGAGTATGTTACTTTTAGGGGGACCATCCAACTCACACAGACCTCTGCTCTCATGAGTTCTTCTTCAACTCTAACCACCTCACTTACACACATTTGAAGGGAGGTGCGGCGGGAACATAACCTCATTTCGCCATATCATTATCTGGCACAAACCACCTGGGCTATTCCAAGACCTCGGAATTCAATGATAAGGACTCGATTGTTCTGTTTTTGAGCTGTTTAGGGCGCTATAGTCTCATCTTTGTTATTGATATCAGAGTGTCGTTTGTAAGTTCTCAACATGTGTTTACTATCATCTCATGCTCGGAAACCGCTTTGTGGGAAAGAACAATCAGCAAAGGAGGTCATTCCCATATTGTCAAAACTGCGACCATACCTTCCAGAAACGACAAGATTCTTTCACCAGGACTTTTAATAGCACAGGCCTTTGAACTCCTTTTGGCTAATGCCCAGTTCAGTAATCTTTCCATAGACACCGTAAACGTGAACCGGCAAACATCCTCCACCCACCAGGCCATTCACTCAAAATGGGAGGAGTCGCATCGGATATAGAGATGGCAGACGCCTGCGCTCCATCCTCGTCCTCATCCTCATCATCTGACCTCTCCCCTCCGCCCACCTACAGCTCAGACTACGAGGGACTTTCCCAAAAAGCCGAGAAAGATTCTTCCAAAGAGATTGTCAAAGAGACTGTCGGCTCACCCAGTGCGCGGGACGACCCGGAATCGGAAGCTATCAACACACAACTTCCAGGCACAGATCTTTCTCACATGGCTCGACGTTCGGCGCGCAACTCGAATAAGCCCAAGCCCGCGGCTGCTTCCCCGCCAAAAGTCGCCAAGAGAAAACAGCCTACCAAAGTGGTACCCAAGAAGTGGCCAAAATGGACAACGCAGAAGCTCTTGACGGATCCCAAGTCGCCGCTTGCCAGCGCGAATCTGAGAGTAAGTGAACCGTCGCAGCTTAGAAGGGACGATGTTATGTCATCCCAGAAATTCTTGTCTCGATTCTAGTACGCTAACTTACCGTGACTCTCTCTAGGCGATACTCTGCCAGCCAGCGGCATGGGACATACTTACGAAAGAGGAGCGTGCCGAGATCGTCAGTCTCTTCCCAGTCGGCACGCGTATCATCGACGCCGGCACCGACGAAGCCCGCCCGGACTTTGACGCACTTCGCAATAACAACAACTTCCGCCACGACTGTGCCACGTACGCCGACAACATCTCCCAGGGCAGGCACGACCCTGAGTGGCTCGAGCAGGCGTGGAGTGCGCGCGAGCGGCGACGGGCAGGTGACTTTGACGACTACGTTACGCAGAAGTTTGAGGATGAGTGGTCGTGCAAGCTGCCAGAGGGCTTTAAGCCAAACAGAAGTAGCGATGCACCAGGCCCCGCTGCGCCTGCGGAAGCTGGAAAGGCCCATATCGAGCAGACGGAGGAAACCACCAACCAGACAAAGGGAGATGTTATCGACAAGGTCCAGGTGGAAGGAGAAGCCATCAAACAAGTGACGGATACGAAGGCTGCGGACACGACGGGTGACGCTAATACGGCAGAGGAGAACGATGCGAGAGAAGCACCGGGCGTCGCACTTGGGTCTCCTCTTCCCGAAGACGTCTCATCAGCAAAGATTGGCACAGCTAGTACCGAGATCTCACCCGAAGAGCAGGTGCCAGAATCCTCAGAGGTGCCACTTGGGAGCATTCCTCCTGAGAAATCATCCCCAAATGCCAATCACCAAAACCCAAGCAAACAGACAGAGAAGCAGAAGGGAAAGAAGCGGGTTGTCACGGAAGGAAACTAACAAAAGCTCATCCGAGGGAAGCATTTTCGTGCTGGCGAGGCTCCAGAGGGTGCGAAGGTGCCGCAGCATGAATGCTGAGAGCTGCTCATGGGAGATACATACAAACGCATTTGTCTGTGTGCAGCACCACGAATCATGATTCATGAAAGGGAATGGAATTTGGGCATATCGGAGATACCTATTTTTTTGGGCGTCACGAAATCATCTGGATTGTCGTCTGGAGGCGGGCTTTCTTTAGTAGGGCCTAATAGCTATGGAATCTAGCGGTAACATCCAAGCCACTGTAAACCCCTCTTCGTGAAAAGGCGCATGATCATAACGGAAGATTTGATGTCGGCTTCGGTGAAAAGGTCTTGGTGTTGACGCCCGATGGTGGTAGTCTCGGTCAGTGCCCCACATCACCGAGAAACCCCAAATTGAGTGGGCGAAAAGCGTCCATCACAGAAATCGCACCTTGACAGTCTTTGCTCTCAATCATCTTACCACCTATCTCATGCGAGAAGACTTTTTTTGGTGCAAGTACTACATATCACAGTCTTACAGGTTCAAGTCTGGAAAAGTATCAACGGCGAGAAGATTCGCGATTCCAGGCTTTACCTTAGAAATTGCTCAGCAAATTCCCTACTTCACAATATAGCGGGAAGATTCCTTCCAAGACCTACCACGATGGCTCCCTCGGCGGAAAACCACAGTCGGTCACATAGCCTCTTACTGTTCCAGAAGTTGCTCAACCTGAGGGATGGCGCGAGCCCTTTGACCTTGGTGCTGGACAGTCTCGAGCAAGGCGCCGCGCCAGTCCTTCGGGAATTTATCTCCAGAGCCAAGGTATGCACTACTGATTTTCATGACTCTGTAGATAGACAAATATAATTCCTATCCCCAAAGACATGATTATTAGTATTAATTTCATTATTCGAATTTTGGGTATTAACGAAATATATAGGTTGCAAAAGCCAAGGTAGTTCTGTTCTCTTTCGCGACGCTCAAACGCCCACGGGGCGTGGACGTCATCATCAGAGCCCGCGGCAAGAACCTCAAGGCCCTGAGAGCAGAGATTCTCTCACATTATCCCAAGATGGACCCTACGGCAGCCAGAAGTGCACCTCCGTCTCAAAGTGAGTGCTGCCGCACCCCCCCCCCCCCCCGTCCTGTGACCTCCTCTCTATGGCCTCACCATGACATATCCACCCTCTGACTCACACATCTTCTCGCGACCAGAAACGGTAGTCCTGCTCGACTCCCTCAACGAGCTCGCCACAGCGGCGCCGCAGATCCTGCCCAGCTTCCTCTCCAGCATCATCATGCCCGCCGTGTCGCTGGTGGCCGTCTACCACACCGACGTGCCCCTCGTCCTCCCGCGCACGGTGAGCGAGTACGAGCCGCACCCGCTGACGGTGCTCTCCCACCTGGCGACCTCGATCCTGAGGCTCTCGGGCCTGCGGCAGGAGATTGAGCGCCAAAAGGCGCGGAACAGGAGTCTGCAGGAGCCCGAGTGGGGGCTGGGGGAAGGGCGAGAGGGCGTTCTCGTCGGGCTCAAGGGCGACGTCAAGTCGGAGGACTATCACGGCGTCGTGGTCGAAATGGAGGTCAGAAGGCGTAGCGGGCGGGCCATGGCGGAGAAGTTCGTGATTCTGCCACAGAAGGGACAGCAGGCTTCTTCTTCCACCGCTTCTACTGCTGCTGCAAAGGGGTCGAGGATCTTCCTACTCTCGGAGCACCCCGTTTTCGCTGCCCCTGAGGGTCCTAGAGAGGCAGAAGCAGGTCACGGGGAGGATGAGGAGCCGGAGAGCACGTTCAACCTGGGTCTCACAGAGAAGCAGCGTAGGGACAGGGAGGGTATTGTTCTTCCTTACTTTGACGCCCAGACGGATATAGGGGCTGGTGAGGGTGGCAGGATCCTGTATGAGATGGGCAGGGAGGATGATTTTGACGACGAGGAGGATGAGATTTAGGCAGCCTCGCCACAGCGGCAATACACGCTCTTACGATTATTTTCTCCTTGGCAAAGGCAACATGAAGGTGACATATTCCTGAGGCATCTCGAAAATGAACATGAAGCGCGGTTGGGTACGAATGAACTTTGGGGAGGTGAATGTAAGCTACCTTACCTTAGGTAGCCATGCATCATCACAGATTGAGGCCATTGCTAGGTAGGCAACTGAGGCCAACCTGAGCCAACCTGAGGTAGTGGTTCGCCTACCTTCCCCACTGAGGCCAAAACACCAAACGGAAGGAAGCAATGTCCCGTGCCTGCCTCTCATCACCAGGCATCAACCACCCGGTTATTCAACTCACCAATCAAGAAATTCTATCCTGCCCATTAAATAATTCGGCACTCATCATGGAAGGTATCTCCAGTACGTATCTTTACTGATCGGGGGCCGTCGCACAGGCCATGCCCAAAATCTATATCAACCCCTCCTCCCACCCACGACTTTTCACCTTTTTCTTCTTTTCTCCTTAGCTCTTCTTTGCCATTTTGGCTTAGATCAAGTGTAGTATCTGTTCTTTTCAGTTTAATATCTGAAAGTCTCCCAATGGGGGACAATCAATATTATTCCTATTTTTGATCTTTTCGGGGAGCGGTCCCTGTGGCTTGCCATATCACCGCTTCCCACCGTGTCCCTGGTATCACACTGCCTCCAGGCGACGCAAAACACTTGGTTTTTTCATTGCTTGCTCTGGCTTGTCCAGGGCAGCGAAGAAGATGTCAAATGGTCTTGTTTTGTATTGATTATCCTTCCTGCTTGTCTGCTGAAAAGATGCGTCACCTCCCGTCGGTGGACGACTGTAGTCGACCCACGTGAAGTTACATCGTGAATGTCTCAAGATTAACATGTCGTGGTGTTGCACCCAGTGAACCCGCTAGAGCTTTCCAGTAAAGCTCAGTGGAGCTTTGCCCAGCGTTGTCCGACCACTGGGCTCCTGCAAGGCTCCCGCGCTAAAATTCGGGGGGCGGAAAGCTTAAACTCTGCCCAATTAAGCAAACCTTCCAGGTGCCTGCCGAACATCAACCCGTCTGAAGATTGCCATGCCCAAAATTTCCTCAGCCTCACAGTGACGTTATTTCTCAAGTCAAAATAAGAGTTCCGCACCACCAAGTATTTGTTTCGACCCCATCCCCGTCCAATTTCTCAAGAACGCATACACAAAGAATGGGTCGCGGACGCGATAATAGACAAACCTGGGACGAGCCCGACCGACGCAGTCGCCACGGCGGCGGCGGAGGAGGCGGCCCTCGAGACCGAGACAGAGACCGCGAAAGCTACAGAGACCGCGACGGCGGCGGCAGACGAGACGACCGCGACAGGAGAGATGACGGCGCCTCCAGGCGATACCGCTCCCGATCCCGCGACCGCCGCGACAGAGACCACCGACCCAGATCGAGAGACCGCGAGAGCGGCGGCGGCCACCGCTCCGGACGCGGCGACGATCGTGACGGAGGCGCGAGGCCGCCGCGCAGAGACCGCGGTGGTTGGCAAGGACGAGATGATAGGGACAGCACAAGGCGGCGCAGGGACGATGACGAACCGGCGATGGACGAGCGGCCTCCGAGGCGGCAGTTTGGAGATGATGATGAGGGACGCAGTAAGTTTTTTTGCCCCTGGTTAGTTGCTGTTTGACTTTTATTTGTTCGGCGCAACAGAGAGAGACTGGCTGACGTTTTTGTGAAAAAAAGGTACACCACGCGACAACAGAGACCGCAGACGATCTGCCTCCCCACGCCGAAGCGGCAGCCCGCCGCAGCCTGGTGCCTCACGTCGCGAGCACGGCGGCGGCGGCGGATACACCGAGTCCCTACCCACGCGCACGGTTCAGAGAGGGAAGAAGGAGCAGCAGCACACCATGTCCTTCAAGGTCGGACGGCACGACTCGCCGCACTTTGACAGCGGGAGGGACAGCGAGCGCGATGGAGATACGCCAATGAGTGGTGGCGGCGGCGGTGGTGGTGGTGGTCGCGGCCGGGACGACCGAAGCGAGGACGACGCCGAACCTGAGCCCGAGGTGGAGGACGACGATATGGCGGCCATGCAGGCGATGCTAGGCTTTGGCGGGTTCGGATCGACAAAGGGCCAGAAGATTGCGGGAAATAATGTCGGCACTGTAAGGAAGGAGAAGAAGACGGAGTATCGCCAGTACATGAATCGGCAGGGTGGATTCAACCGGCCGCTCAGTCCTGGCAGATGAGTGCTTTTCTGAGAGGGCGTCAGGAATTTTGCTATTGGGGGCAATGGTCGTCTGAAGTGGATGGATCGGCTCGATGGAACAGCATGCCACGCACGACTCCGCCATGATCGGACAGTATTAGGTACGCTTCACGCTTGTATTGGTTTCTTCAGATACCTATAGATGGTGAAGAATGAAAGATATTTACAACAGCAGAGTCCGAGTAGATATCCTTCCCTCATACCAACTTGCTCCAGCTCAGCCTGATGCGGTTGACGCGGGCGCAGGCGGCGTAGACTCCCTCGTCTTTCCCTCCTTGGCCTCGGCCTTGAGCTCGCTATCGAATATGTCAACGGCCAGACTCGCGTCCACAAAGTCCTCGAGCTCCTCCGTCACCGTCTTGAGCTTCTCTTTGACCGCGGTAGCGCCTTCGAAGCCGACAATGTGTCTCGCCGGCGGGTTCTCGTGCCCGCCAATGGCCGTCAGGGCGTGCACCGTCTCCAAGACGAGTCGATCGGTGGCGCTGGGCGGCAGCTTCGGGTACCGCACCTGGACCTCCTCGGTCTCGTTGAGGTCGGGCACGGCGGTGTCCGGGTTCATGTTGAGGACGTTGCCAAGCATGTCGCGGACGCTGGGCGCCGGGTTGACCTCGGCGTCGTACCACGGCAGCTGCGGCGCGAAGATGATCTTGTTGGTGAGAGATTGGATCTCCTTGTTGGGCTGCACGATGGTGACTTTGATGTTGAAGGGGGCAATCTCGTAGGCTAGGGAGTCGCAGAAGCCTTCGAGGGCCCAGATAGCGGATGTGTAGATGGGCATCCCGGGCGTGCCGATGTGGCCGCCCGTGCTGGAGAGGATGATGATGTGTCCCGTGTGCTGTGAGCGTAGGAGTGGCAGGGCGGCCTTGATGAAATTGACCTGTGAGAAGAAGATTGTCTCAAACTGGTCGCGGACTAGGTTCTGTGTTAGAGGATTCGTGGATAGCTCCTCCACGCTCCCCACGACGGCTGTATAGGGGTTGTCAGCGTTGTATCATTGACATTCAACGGGGGCTCGTCATGAAATACCTTCGGATTTGCAACAGAGGAGGATGTCGATCCTCCCAAATACCTGAACGGCCTCGGCCACGGCGGCGCCGCATTGGCCCATGACGCGCCCATCGCAGCGGATACCCCGTATCCTGTCCTTCCACCCTTCGCGGTCCTTACGGTTACTCTTACACTCATTGATCAAGTCTCTGAACTCGGCGCTGCGGCCGTCGTCCTCAATCTCGCTCGGCGGCAGACAAGCGACGACATAGTCACCGTGGCCCAGGAGCAGTCTGATGAGCCTGATGATGAGCGGCGAGAGGGCTGTCGTCAAGAACCAGGTCCTCGGCGAGTTGTGCGTAGCTGAGGCAGGGGCGTATTAGCCAAGAGGTGCGCTGCCAAGAAAAGCCGTGCTTGCTAGTGAAGTGAGGTGAGATACTCACGGAAAGACGCCGCGGGAATGGAATGGGAATGCTTCGCGGCGTCCGCCCCCTTGCGGTCCGCCATGCCCGGCGGCACTTCTGACAAATCCTCGTCCCTTGAACACGCGAATCAGCACACGAAGACACAGGCGGTACTACTACACAATGTAGAGAAAGACAAATGAAGAAGCTGCAGGTGTATGTACGTGATGTACGGAATATCAAATGCGGTGGATACGTGGGGGGAGTTTAATGTAGGTCAATCTTGAGAGAGTGGGAGACCTGCATCAAAGACGAGAAGGGGGGAGGATATTAATACATTATCTTATTTACAGCTTCCCGACGAAGAGGCTGATACGGCGATCTCAATCACAAGGGGGCACGTTCGGGAACGGCTAGACGTGCCATTAAGGTCGCATTCCCTGGGTGTAGTCGGCAAAGGGCGTCGATCGAGGGGAAGGGGGGCGTGGCAATCGTGGTAGTTGATCAGTTCGTTGATGGGGTTGAGAGGAAGACGGCACGGCAGTGGCAGTGGATGACAGCCGTTCCAGCCCAATCTCTATCTCACACCCCTGTCAATCTCCGTGACGAGGGCAGGAAAGGCCCCCAAGGCCCCCCAAGCTTACCTTACCTGGTACCCCCGCCCACCTTGCGCATGAGGTGCAGCGGCCACTGTCCACCGATCCAGTGCTTTGTCACCTAATACCGACCTTCCTCAGGTCGGGTAGGTACCTACCTAATCGAATGCAGTGGCCGAAGCGAGCAATACATACATAGGAGCCCGGGCCCCACCACGGGCCACGGGTGACGGGCCAGCACGATGCAATTCCAGCGGCATCCCCACGCTAGAATCCGGGGAACGACCCCTCCATCCATTCACGTCATTTTTTCGCTGTCATTGTTTCCGACACCGGTGTCTCTTCCGCATTTTGGCGGGGTTACTCGTCTGGAATAGCAACTTTTTTTTTCTGGCACCACCGCAACTCCGTCTTCCGTGACTCATTAGAACAAGTCTCAGCCCTACATAAATCTAATTGATCTACCGTTCTATTCTCCGCCTAGAATCCTTCTGGTGTCCATCATTTGCTCAAATCTCGCCCAGACCTAATTCACCCAACTCCAATTGAACCCGCCCAAAGAAACCGCTCCGCCCATCATGCCCTCCCGCGCCGACATCACCTACTTCGGCGCCGGCCCCGCGCTGCTGCCCACCGACGTCCTCGAGACGGCCTCGCAAGCCCTCCTCGACTTCAACGGCACCGGTCTGGGCATTGCAGAGCACTCTCACCGCAGCGAGATCGCCACCAAGATCATTGAGGAGGCCAAGGCCGACCTGGCCACCTACCTCGACATCCCCTCCGACTACGAGGTCCTCTTCATGCAGGCTGGCGGCAGCGGCGAGTTCTCCGCCACCGTCTACAACTTTGTCGGCGCCTGGATCGCCCGCCAGCGCGATGCTGTCCTAGCCAACCTCGGCGCCACCGACGAGAATGATGAGAAGGTCGTCGCCGAGCTCCGCAAGATTGTCGACGAGAAGCTCAAGCTCGACTACCTTGTCACCGGAGGCTGGAGTCAAAAGGCCAGCGCCGAGGCCGCGAGACTGCTCGGCCCGGAGTTCGTCAACGTCGCCGCCGACGCCCGAAAGATCAATGACGGCAAGTTTGGCAAGATTCCCGACGAGAAGGACTGGAAGCTTAGCAAGGAGGCCGCCATGGTCTACTACTGCGACAACGAGACGGTCGACGGCGTCGAGTTCAACGGCTTCCCTGGGGCGCTGGCGCCCAAGGAGAACGGCGAGGGCCCCATTGTCGTGGCGGACATGTCGTCCAACATCCTCTCAAGGCGCATCCCCGTCAAGAACTTCAGTGCCATCTTCTTTGGTGCGCAGAAGAACCTCGGTTCGACTGGTATCACCGTCGTCGTCATCAAGAAGAGCCTTCTTGCCGCACAGCCCTCTCCTGCGCTTATGCGCAAGCTTGGCCTCCCCATCGCCCCCATTGTTCTCTCATACGAGACCATTGCCAAGAACAACAGCTTGTACAACACATTGAGCATCTTTGAGTGAGTCATTTCTCTATAGCTAACCCACATTTTCTCTTCACTCAACTAATCACTACTCCACAGTGTCTACATCGCCGGCCAGGTCCTCAAGAAGCTTCTCCGCACTTTCCAAAACAAGGTCGACGGCCAGGAGGCCATCGCTGATGAGAAGGCCTCTCTCATCTACTCCGCCCTCGAGGCTCACCCCGATATCTACCGCATCGTCCCCGACAAGAGCGTCCGCTCGCGCATGAACATCTGCTTCCGCGTCACCAAGGGCGGTGACACTGACGCCGCAGAGAAGGCCTTCCTCAAGGAGTCTACTGCCCAGGGTCTCACCGGCCTCAAGGGCCACCGCAGCGTTGGCGGTATTCGTGCTAGCAACTACAATTCTATTCCTCTCGAGGGTGCCAAGAAGCTGGCCAATTTCATCGAGTCCTTTGCCAAGGCTTAAGTCAGGATGATTCAGATGAAGGTCCATTCAACACCGTCAATATAATGATACCATGTAAGAATATACATGAACCAAAAAAAAAAGGGAGGAACGGTATTGGGAAATGAAAATAAAGCATATTGGGAATATTTAGGGAGCCATGATTTAATTCAACATTTCTGCCAGGGTATTATGGCTACACGTTGCACACAGTCCTTCATGTGTGAGTTGATTGTGAGAGGAGAGATGGTAAACGTTACCTTGATGGGTAGGGGTGTGGATGGATGACTGAGTTCCACTCTCGCAATAAGGTAGATCAATGGCACATGCAACGATATCTTCCCAAAGTGGTAGGTGGCAATGTCACCGCATGGAAACGCCTTACATGCAGCTTCGGGAATACCTAATTGAAGCTATCACAGGTATACCAGCTTCCACATGAGCCGAGTAACCTCAGAGAGCTTTAAGGTCAGGCGGCTACACCGGAGATCAAGACTACCTGGTCCAATGCGATTTCATTCCAAATTCTCAGCAAGATAAATCCCTCACTTTCGCCCAAGTGAAACCTCCAAAGTGACTCTTGCAAGTAAGGTAAGGTAGCACATGGGTATGTAGTTGAGAGGCATCACTATCGTACATCGGCCCGGCGCCCATGTAATGGCCCGTGCGCACCGTCGGCAATATGTCCATCTTGCGGCTCCTTGCCAACTCTTCACCAACACACCCTTAACTTGTGGCTTCAAACAAGACCTGGATACGGTCACCGGGATGACTCCGGTCCCTTCATCCCGCAGGATCCGTCGCCGTAGAGTCGCAGACGAGGATCGGAAGCGGGCACCTCGGGCCTGTACCCGCTGCAAGGCCCGTAAAAGCAAATGCATTGAGACGACGTCGGGTATATGCCAACGATGTCTTCAGGGGTCACACACTTGCAGCTTCGTCACGCAGCGGTCGAGCATATCCCCAGGAGTACTGCAGTCGCCTGCAAGAGACTATGACGAACCATCGGCAGATCTGGGTCCTAGCCCGAGCCCCGATCCCCTGGCTGATGTCTCGGACAACATACAAGCATCACGTCGGGATCTCTGCTCCGACAGTAACGCTCCAGAGAACTTCATGTGGCCACGATTTCTATCCAGACTTAGAAACGCATTCTATCTCGAGCCAAACTCGTCACCTGCTGAGAGAGCGATCGCCAGACTTGAGGCTCGCTCGTCGCGAACCACTGCTTCTCACCAGTCTGCGGAAGCAATCCGCTTGCAGGCGGCCACTGAAAGCCTCCCACCCAGATCTGTAGCCATCTTCTTGAGCAAACTCTGCGTTCAACATGGGACCGACTGCTTCTTCTACTTTGATCAGCCTTCTTTCTTGGCTGAGGTGGATGAGTTTTACAACGACTTGAGCTCACCTCTCCGGCGGGATCCTAGCTTCCTTTGCCTTTTGCTGTCAGTTCTTGCTCTTGGAGCGCACTGGAGCCCGCGAGCCCGCCCATCCACTCTGTCTGGGTCTCTTCCAATTCCTGCGGAAGACCCTGGTAGGGTATTTTGCGGTCATGCCCGGATCGTAATAGCAGACACCATGGATAGAGTGAGTATGTACTCTGTCAAGGCGGCATTCGTCCTTGGGATATACCTCATGCCATCGAGTGCGGTAGGGGCCTCATACCTGTACATGGGTCTTGCCTTGAGGAAAGCCATCGCTCTTGGACTGCATCATGAATCAGAAGAGCCAGACATCGACAGCCATGAGAGGGAAATGAGACGAAGGTTATGGTGGGCTATATTTTCTCTCGAAAGGTTAGTTGACTTGCCAGCACTCAGTTCCATCACGGTGAACCCGGACTGATATCCTCTTCGTAGAACTCTAACAATCAAGCTCAATCGACCCAGATCGATATCTCAGGATGTCATAACAGCTCAGTTGCCGCAGCGCCGAGCAATTGATGCCCTGCAAAGCTTCGATAACTTGGACCACCAAGTAGCTAACGCGCAATTTGTCAAAATCATTGACACTCTTGTCGAGCCGGCGTAAGTTATGTCTTGATGCATGCTTTTGATTCTTCTCATTGACTCGAAATGGTTCAGTACTTGGTCAAGCAACTCTCAACCTCCTCTGCAAGACTTTGAGGTTTCGCTGAAAACCTGGAAACAGTCTCTGCCTCCCAACTTACGTCTCCCAAACGTGGAACCTCGCTCGCCATACTATCGCGCCGTGTTCCACCTCTACCTAAACTACTACTTTGCTTGGATTGCCATAGGTAAAACGTCTGTCGTTACAAAGATTCGGAGTCATTTACGGTCAGCTGCATCAGGCATACCAGAGCCTCAAACAACGGAAGATGATGATATAACGCGGCAATTCAGATCATGTGGCATCGCGGCAAAGAAGATGTTAAACATACTCGAAGACGCTAGTCAATCAGGAAACATGGCCCCAAGCTCCTTTACGGACTTTCAGGGTTGCAGTATCGCCACAATCATTGTGATCCTTACCGGCATCCTGGAGCGAGACTCGGCATACGAAGCCCGAGTTGCCTTCGGTCTGCGCTGTCTCAGAAGGATGGCTGACTTGCACATGGCTGGTCGAATGGCAGTACGATTTGTAGAGGCACTCATGTCAATCGCCGAGGAGGCGCGGGCCAAGGCCAGACCGTTCGGTTCGGCACAATTCGATGCGAATGTCGACCAAGAGACTTCTGAGTACCTTCTCTGGACAGACTGGCTGAACAGAAACACGGACACATCTGGGACTGAAAGGAATCAATCCAATGTAACTATACAATCGTCGCGTGCTCATTCGCAAGCTGCACAAGCTGCTGCTGCTGGCGCATCGCCAATGTGGGAGGAAGCTGCTGCATTGCTCCAGCTTCGGAACCCATCTACGCCCAACCAAGCACATGTGGTTGAAGATGTTGCTCTGTCAACGTCTGCACCTGGGCTACCAGAAGAGGCACCTTTCGATCTAGGTCTGGATGCTGACTTCCCTCCGGCCACTTTTGCCGAGAATCACATGCAACTGATGGGTCTCACTGGTATGGACATGTTGGATTTTACATTTGACATCTAAGTAAGGTACAGCAACAGCTTCAAAAGTAGCCGAGAGAAGGTCCAGCCAAGTTTTACCGGCCAACGTTACAGACGCCAGAAAAAGCCGAAATCAAGCCTCATTCGAAGGATACAACACAGTGTCTGCGCCGACAAGGTCCTCCTTCATACTCCTCATGCTGGTAAAGCGTGTCAAAAGATTTACGCTGGTGGCCTTGTCATTGGTACCGCTCGCACGACCACCCCCGAAAGGCTGGTGCCCAACAACGGCACCGCTGCTCTTGCTGTTGACGTAGAAATTGCCAGCCGCGTGACGCAGCCCCTTTTCCGCGGCCTCGATGGCGCCCCGGTCGCGGGCGAAGACGGCGCCCGTCAAGCCGTACTGCGTCGTGGAGTCGATGACGGGGAGCATCTCCTCGTACTTCGCGTCCGGGTAGACGTGGACGGCGAGGATGGGGCCGAAGAGCTCGTTCCTCATGAGCTTGTGCTGGGCGTTGTTGGTCTGGAAGATGGTGGGCGAGACGAACCAGCCCTGGCTGTTGTCTGTGTGACCGCCAGCCAGCAACTCGACTGCGGGATCCTTTTTAGCGTCCTCGATTACGTCGCGGAGTTTTGTCCAGGAGCGCTCGTGGATGACGGGTCCGATGAAGTTATCGACCTGCTCGGGGGAGCCGACCTTGAGGTTGTTTGTTTCCCGCAAGAGCATCTCCTTAAACTCTGGCCAGATGGACTCGGCCACGTAGAGACGCGACGTCGCAGAGCACTTTTGCCCTTGATACTCAAAGGCGCCCCGAACAGTATTCACTACCGCGTTCCGCACATCGGCGCTGCCGTGCACCAAGTGGAAGTTCTTGCCGCCCGTCTCGCCGATCATGCGCGGGTAGCTCTCGTACTTGCCCGAGGCGACGCCATCCCCGATCATGCCATACAGCTGGCGGAAGACGTCCGTGGAGCCGGTGAAGTGGAGCGCTGCAAACTGGGAGTGGTCGAGGACGGCCGAGGTGATTGCTTCGGGCTCGCCGGGGAGGAACTGGATCACGCCGGCGGGCAGGCCGGCCTCCTCAAAGACCTTTTGGAGGAGGTAGCTCGAGTAGATTGCGTAGTCGGAGGGCTTCCAGAGGACGACGTTGCCCATGATGGCGGGGGCGACGGTCAGGTTGGCGCCGATGGCGGTGAAGTTGAAGGGGCTGATGGCGTAGACGAAGCCCTCTAGCGGTCGGTATTCTGTTCGACTGGTAGATACCGTTAGTTCGTGTACGAAATGCTTCGAGGCTTTGAACAACGGGAAGGAGAAACTTACTTCATGATTCCGGCATCGGTCAATGCGTTCTGCTGGTCATACAGCTGAGCTGCGTAATGAACATTGAATCTTCAATGTCCCGTCAACAGTTAGCGAAAGCTCTTCTGGAATGCACGGAGTATCGAATCTGCTTCTCCAACGTACCGTAAGAAGTCACAACTCTCCGCTGCCGAGTCAATCTCCGCCTGCCAGATATTCTTCCCCTGCCCGAGCATCGTCGCAGCCATGATATCGTAGCGATACTTTCCCGCAATGAGCTCCGCCGCCCTAAGAAAGACGGCAGCCCTGTCCTTGAAAGACGTATTCTCCCACGCGGGCTTGGCTTCCAACGCCCTGTCAATGGCTATCGACACCTGCTCGGGGGTTGTCTGGGCGTATTCGGCCAACGCGACGGAGTGGTCGCTTGGTAGGTATTGCTTGGCTAGCACTGACTTTGCGTTTGTCTTTGGGAGGTGACAGAGAGCATGTAAGTCTGGGAGCCCGGAAGCTGCGAGTTATGAGCGAACAGAGACCACTCACGATTCCAGGTGCCAAGGACGGGACTCGCACGGGAAGGCTGCTCTTCAGTCGTGAGATCGCGTCTTGGAGCTTCTGACGCTCGATTGAGCCCTTGCTATATGATGGCTTAGGGTCGTTTTGTTAGTTGATGCTTTAACGTATCGTTAGTCATGCTTTACTGCGGAATACTTACATTTGGCTCGTTGCGGACTGGAGGTGCCTTGAAAGTGCCAAACCCCCTGATGCTTCTTTTGAGAGGCCGAGAGTTGACTCCGAAGCGAGAGGATGGCGCTGTGAGCCGGCCTGCCTTTTGGAAAGGGGTCGTGAGACCTCGTACTAAAGAGACAGACATTTCGATGTGCCGGTACCTTTGAAACTGAGTGAAGAGAGGAACCAGCGTTCGAAGGATATCAAGATCAGATCAACTATGAAAGTTACATTTATACGTCTTGGGAACCGCAGTTCAGAGCTCCGGCATCGCGATGCCGTTGCCGACGCTGGTGGCACGTTGCCGTGAGGTCGGCAATTTGACCAAGCGATAGTGTCGGTAGCCGATCCGTTGACCGGAACGGCCCCCACCGCTTCTTCTTATCCGAGTGCATGTCACCAGCGGGGGAAGTCCCTATCCAAAAGTCTTTAACTGATATTGATTTACAATTCGCTTGCGCCGTGCGTACCAGTCTTCCTTGGCTTGTCAAAGCCACCGTGTTTCTGCTGTCCAGCGCCTTTCGTTAATTCAACACCCGGATCTCCAATCGCTACCATGGGGACTACGGCCCTGGATTCAATTAAGGACATAACCTCAGGAGCTGCAGGAGGTATAGCGCAAGTTCTTATAGGTATGTAACTCACGGTAATGAGTCTTGCATCTTATAGGAATGGACTTGGCTTACACTGTCTTACATAGGACAACCTTTCGGTAAACCGACTCCTCTGCACCTCTGCCTCTCAAAAGCCTCTCGAAACGCCATGAAGCCGTGGGATCAGTTCAATTACTTACCAACGACTCTCAGACCTCGTAAAAGTGCGCCTTCAAACCCAAGGCGGAGGAGGGAATGCTCTGGGTCTAGTCCGCAGCATCTGGACTAAAGAAGGGCCTTTGGCTTTTTACAAGGTCAGCTTTGACAGATTATAGTCTAGGAAATTGGTAGTTGACACTCGTATCCAGGGTACTCTAGCTCCGTTGCTAGGTGTAGGTGCCTGTGTAAGTTGTATAACCACATTCAGGGAACATACTTCAGTCTGACTATATCGAACACTGGATAGGTCAGCATACAATTCGGTGCCTTTCAATTCTTTCGCCGACGACTCGAAGAGTATCGCGGAATCTACCCAGCCGACGCTAAAAGTAACAGCAAATCACTCTCCCTATTTGACTTCTACCTCGTAGGAGGAGCCGCTGGCCTAAGCAACAGCATCATCTCCGGACCAATCGAACACGTCCGAATCCGGCTCCAAACACAACCCAGCGGCGTGGCCCGCCTATACTCTGGGCCCTGGGACTGCGTGCGCAAGATTACGCAGCACTCCGGTATGAAGGGCCTGTATCGTGGGCAGGTCGTCACTCTTTTCAGAGAGTTCCACGGGTACGGTATCTGGTTTGCCGCGTATGAGGGGTTTCTCAGTATGGCGATGGCCTGGGAAGGCGTCAAGGACAGAAGAGACCTGGCTAGCTGGAAGATTGCCGTCTGCGGAGGTCTTGCGGGTGAGGCGCTGTGGCTGGGGAGTCATCCGCTCGATGTGATCAAGAGTAAGATGCAGAGCGACGGGTTTGGGGGAGACCAGAAGTACTTGACCATGAGGGACGCTTTCCGTCAGACTTGGAGAGAGGGTCGCTTTCGGGGACTGTTTCGAGGACTTGTCCCAGCGTTGCTAAGGGCGATGCCTGTGTCTGCTGGGACTTTTGCAACGTAAGTGTTTTTGACCAGTTTATCATTCCGTTACGCCATTCCTATATACGGTTTGGCATTGGCTAACACTCACTTGTAGAGCTGAGCTTGTAAGAGGGGCTCTCAGTTGAAACTCCACGATATAGAAACGATCCATGCGGTAGATATATAGTAGATCAAATCTCATAAAATTGGGCCTTAAATAAGTTCCAAGTGTTCTTTTTCTTTCATGGCCCAAGAAAATTTTCACTGCCTCCAAACTTTTGTATAAGTCCGCTGCCCTTTGAAACTTTGGCTGTGTTTCCATGTCGCACTCTAGATGGACTGTTCGATCAGGAACTGGCCTTCATCGTTGCGTATCAATCCCCCGAAGTTAGTCACTCTTCTGATTGTTGTTAGTAGAGATATTATCCCACAGCGCGTTACGCTTGCCGAAGGCTGCACTGGGGAGCGGTTGGAATATGTCGCGTTGCCGGTGGCACAGTGCCCGAAATCGGCTACAGTACACATGTCCGTCCGACGGTATCATGAGGGGTTGCCGCATCTAGATGTAGGATAACGCAGGTATTCAAATAGGCTCGCCCTAAAATTTCTATCGCATAGTGTCGAGTGAACCAGATTTCGCCAGATGCGACCCCAGTAGCGAACAATGTCTCTGTCGAACCCTCACAGCCAGCGGCTCGCAGCTCTTCTGAGCCGGCGACACCCAGCCGTTCACCATGCCAACAATGCGCCTCTTTCACGTTTCCAGTCGCGATACGCATCCACCACTTCAGGGAACTCAGAAACATTGCCACCACACTCCAAGCTGCCCTTGAAGATTCTCTTACGGTCCCTGTTGGTGGCGACCATTTCTTCCCACCGGATCTTGTTGGGCCCGTCTCTGGCTATTTTGAAATTCCTGAACGACTCGCACCAGACCTGGGTCTTTGACGTGCAAAGGAATCCTTTATTGCACGCTGTACTGAAGAAGACCATGTACAACCACTTCTGCGCCGGCGAGAACCGAAACGAGGTGACGTCGACGATTGCGGAGATCAAGCGCATGGGGTTTCGGGGAGCCATCCTCACCTACGCTCGCGAGATTGTGGTCGACAATACGACAGAAGAAGAGAGCGGTCGGGGGTTAAAGGAGATGGATCCCGCTTCAGAAATCGAGTCAGATGCTGGGATCGACGCTTGGCGTGAGGGTGTCTTGGAAACGGCGGATATGCTCAGTGAAGGAGATATTTTGGCTCTCAAGTTGGCGCCCCCGAACACATCAATATGCATTCTCATGATTTGCTGACTTTCTCCTCAGACTGACTGGTGCCGGTGCCGCCGTTTCAGAGGCGCTCACTTCGAGGAAGCCCCTACCAGCGCAGATGGAGTCAGCTCTCTCAGACGTATGCTCTCGCGCGGTGGAGCGTGGAGCACGCATCTTTATGGACGCCGAACAGATTTCAGTACAGCCCGGAATCGACGCAGTAGCAATAGACCTCATGCGCCGCTTCAACACGAAAGAAAGAGGCGCCGTCGTCTTCAACACCTACCAAGCCTATCTCAAGAGCACACCGGATACCCTGGCCCAGCACGTGGCGCTAGCTCACAAGGACGACTTTGTCCTCGGAATCAAACTGGTGCGCGGGGCTTATATCAGCTCAGAGCCAAGACACATGATCAATGATACCAAGCAAGCAACAGACGACTCGTATGACTCTATCGCACGGGAGCTTTTGTCACAAGGATACAGAGACTATGGCGTGCCGGGCGGGAAGTCGTTCCCGAGCATTGAGTTGTTCCTTGCAACGCACAATAAGGACAGCGTCCTAAAGGCCAACGAGCTTCAGCAAACTCGCGCCAAGGAAGGGAAGGCCTTGATCAGGATTCAGTATGGGCAGCTTCTGGGCATGGCCGACGAAGTCAGCTTCAGTCTACTCCAGCTCGCAGACCAGAGGGCCGATGCAAAGGGATCGGATAGTGATGCCCCTATAGAGGTCTACAAGTGCTTGAGCTGGGGCTCTCTTGGTGATTGTACGTCGTATCTCTTGCGGCGGGCGGTCGAGAACCGGGATGCGGTATCCCGCACAAAGTCGGAGTTCACTGCGTTGAAGAACGAGTTATGGAGGAGGCTTACATCTTCCAAATGATCATGGCAAGGAAAATAGAGATATCAAAGTCGCTACATCGCACTCTTATCATCGTGAAGTTGACTAGGAGAACCCACCGCTCTCTCAGTGTAAGTGAGAGATTGGTGAAGAAGAGAATCAAGGGGGGGAAAAGGCAACATTTGGACTATGTAAATAAAGTAATGGTCGGTGCTTCGACCAGGGACCATTACCCCCCGGCTGGAGAGCTATCATTACCCGTACTTTATCCGAAAGAATGACAGAATGGAACCGAAGCTCCCTCTAAACGAGGGGCTCTCTCCACAGCCTGGTAGAGGTACCTGGCCTGCCACCAAGCCCCACCATCTCAACTCCCAAAGCCACCGCGCAAGCTACAAAACGACATCGTCACATCTCACCCAGCGCCCTCAACCTCACTCACCCTCCGACCGCCCCCACCCCCTTCCGACAGTCGACACCTAGACGGCATTCCCGACAACCCACCCAACATGGCAGCCAAAGGAGACAAGATTGAGAAGATCATCACGAGGCTCCAGGCCCGCATCGGCGAGGGCCAGTTCTACGAAGCCCAGCAGCAGACCCGCGTCGTCGCCGCCCGCTACATCAAGGCCGCAAACTGGCCCGCCGCCATCGATATCCTGTACAATGTCGCACAGTCCCTGCTAAAGGCCGAACAAGGCGGCAGCGGCGGCGACTTGGCCGTCATGCTCGTCGACGTCTTCAAGCAGGCCGAGCTAAAGCCCGACGCCGCCAATAAGGGCAAGCTGCTCACCCTCCTGCGCCTGTTTGCGGCCCAGGAGCCTACGAGGAAGAAGTTTATCGGGGAGATTATTGCGTGAGTATATAGCCTTTGTCCGTTGAGTGCGCAGTATACAGTGGAGAGGGAAAGACGATCAGTTGTTGCTAACTACCGGGCTACAGATGGTCATCAAAGTTCGGCGAGTACCCCGCCGGCGATACCGACCTCCACCACGTCGCCGGATCCCTCTACGCCGAAGAGCACGACGCCTACGAGGCGGAACGACACCTGGTGCTAGGAACAAAGGACTCGGCCGAGGTGCTCGCAAAGATGGAATACGTCTGGTACAAGGAGGACGACTCGCACACGGCGCCCCTCTACGCCGCCCGTGCCATCTTCCCCTACCTCCTCGTCGGCAACGTCCGCGCCGCAAACACCTGCTACCGCCTCTTCGCCTCCTCCCTTAGCGACGACAACAAGGGCCTCGGCGTCCAGGACGTCAGCAGCAACAGCGCCGACCTGCGCATCTTCCCCGGCCTGCCCCTCCTCAACTTCCTCGGCCTGCTCTTGCTGGCGATCCAGCGCGGCGCCCCGGACGCCTACAAGCAGCTCCTGGCAAAGTACTCGCCCAACATTTCCGAAGTCAGCGCGTGGAGCGAGGCGCTCGAGATCATTGCCGAAATGTACTTTGGCATCTCGCGTCCGAGGCAGAGCAATCCGCTCATGGACATGATGGGCAGCCTGTTTGGTGGTGCCGGTGGTGGTGGTGCCCCTCAGCAGAGACGTCCCGCGACAAGACGGGTGGAGGCACCCGCGGCTGAAGGCCTGGATTAGATGAAGATGTTTTCCGTCGATTCGGCGTAGATGCCCACCGTACGCAAGAGCGCGCTTCATAATGAACCAGACGTTGAAAACATGTGTCGTCGAAGTAACGACCAGGATATCCAGATGGGAAACGCTAGGCATCCTGTTCAGAAGCCACGGGGCAGCTCCGGCTCGGCCTCGTACATCCAATTATCGTCGGCGAGAGCCGAGACTTTGGCTCGTAAACTGGCTTTGACGGCTTCGAGCAGCTCTATTTCGTACAGGAGCCGGTTAGAAACCCCTTTTTCCTCCAACGAAGAGTGGACACAAAAGTATCTCGCAAGGGGGTACTCACCTTCGGGCTGTTCACGGACGGCGGTATGGTTGACTTGATGCTGCTTCACCGCCTCTGCGAGCCGTTGCCGCTCTTCTAAAAAGCATAGTTAGCATTACATATAAAAATCAATACCCCTTTTAAAGAACCAGAAAAACAAAGAGAAAAATGGACAAGAATTAGAACCGTGAATAATTAAAACGTAAAAAATTGAGAAAAGGAAAACAATGGGAAGGAAATAAGACTTACTCTTGCTCTCCTCCCGATCATCCATCGCAGCAGCCTCATCAGCCTCGTCAAACACCAGTGTCGGCAGGTCCCCGAGCTCAATCTCGCCGTGCTCATCACGCACCACAATCTCCGCGGGTCCCGCGGCGGACGGCGGCCCGCCGTCAGAGAGGACGTCTACGTCGAGGCGGAGCGTCTCGCCGCCACCGACATGACCGTTACCGTTGCCGTGAGTAGCAGCAGCAGTTGAAGAACTCCCGCCTGGTCCCACTCCTCCCATCGTCGCAGCAGCAGCAGCAGCGGCAGTGGTAGATACTGATCCCGCGCCGACAGTAGACGCCATGGGCTGCCCCGTCGTTCCCGTCGTCGTAGTCCCCGTCGCCCGCCTCGTGAGCCCCTGGAACAGATTCCGCCGAACCGCTCGTCGCGGGGCACCGGGCGGTGGTGGTACGGCTCTCGAAGCCCTGTCTGCCATCTTTTCCCCTCCCTTGCTTTTTTTTGCTTGCTTACTCTTCTTTTCCGTCTGTTGTTGGAACAGTGTGCTGTAATGGCGATAGAGAGTTGCTGATCTCCGATCCCGATCCTCCTTCCTTGTTTTCTGGTACTTCTCACGGATATAAAACGTGTAGTTGCCGATGCAGGATAGTAAGCGTTTTCTTCCTTCTATTACAACTCAAGACCCTCAATTCGTAAGATAAGACAAGGATGTTGGATGTTGAATCTTCCAAAAAAGGGGGATTGAATATTGAGTTGGTTGGTTATGGGGCTCGTGATCTGTATGTGCAGATCGCCCCTCTGTTTACATTTGGAGGGTGAGGTCGTCCAGGCACCGCGCGCAGTGAGGGTAGGTAAGGTAGTTATCGATAAGGGACAGTGCGGATTGCCAAGAAACCACCTAAAGGCAAAGCATAAGGTAGCACCCATCGGAGCACCTACCTCATCACCTCACCGAGCTCACTGCGCACCTCACTTACACGGTCAAAACACCATGACCTGGGACAACGAAATTGAACATTATTGACTTCATTGACTGCATTTTCGCGTAAACCTTTTATGTTACAGAACCATCCTAGCCTGGACATGCATGATTCCCATTATGTATCGTACATTAGAAAAACTCCCACAGCCGTGACGAAGACCTCCAACCGATCGATACCCAGTTTCCCAAATACACACAAAAAGAAGAAGACAAGAAAAAACCGGTAGGAAAGAAAACGCCGAGATTTGCATACCCCGAACCCACCCAGTCGTAACCGCTCAAGTCCCTTTTTTTTCGACATTGCCTTCGCGCATTTCAAATCAAACAAAAAACAAACGACGCAGTAGATCGCGGCATGATCATCCCACACATACCCATTCGGCAAAGACGCACCAGCGAGCGGTGCGGTCTGCCAATACCAGCCCCCTCCACACTCCCTTCTCGGAACACTTGATGATGGTCTCCCACGTCCCACCATCACTGAGATCCTCTTCAGCTCCTCTGCTGCCGACACTGACTCCTCTGCGCTCCTCTTTCCTCATAAGACGGAGGATTTTGCCGCCTGGAGTCTGAATCGCCAACTTCGCTGGCTTCTTCCCACCCGCAGCTGCTGAACTGAGGTTCGAGCCGCTGGCGCTGGAGGCGGTCATACTCATGGCGGAGCTCGGTCTTATAAAGGGAATTGGGCTTGCGCCTCCGGGATTGGATGACGGTGTCATCACCGAGCCGACCGCGCCCGCAGAGCTGGGATGCTGCCGAATTGCGAAAACAAAAGTGTTGTTCAGAGCCAGGCGTTGACATTGAGGCTGAACAACGTAGATGTCGTGACGCTGTGCATGAGGCGTCGGGTGCCGCGTCACAAACTCATACGGAGGGTTCTCGCCCGTATGAATGATGGGCAGCGCGAATGCCACTGGATGAGGAATGTCTTTGATGCTATGCATCAAACCACGCTTGCCGGCATAAATCTTCAAGACTCCCTGACCCTCATCACCAGGCAGCAAAGCCTTGACGGTGTATCGTTTGGTGCCGTTGAACCACTCCGCTTGAGCCAGCGCTCTCTTCTTCACAACTTCGCCGCTCTCGAATACGTCACCATCGACATCTCTGGTGTAGCCGCGGACTTCGACTTCAGCAGCAATCTCGACGTCAGGTGGAGCGTTGAACTTAACGTGTACCATCTCCAGATCCTCGATGCGAGTTGCTGCCGTATTGTAATCGACCATCTCGAGCGTGTTCTTGAAGAAGGGAGGGCAGGCGCAAGGCAGGTTGAGGAGAACTTCATGAGCCTGTGGCGGGCACATGTGTTGTTGAGTGTGGTGTTCAGGAATATGCGTCCAGCAGAGCTCTGTCGGCCGAGTGAGGAACCACCAAAAGTCCGCGGCGCTGTTGCTAGCACTCGAGTAGAGATGCCGCCTGGGATACGAAGGGCTGGCCATGCAGCAGTCAATCATTCGCCAGTCGTTGTCGACCAGAACCGCATTCCACCAGTGATTCGCCCGAGGCATGATATTGTGCTCCGGAATCTCGCCGGGCGTCTTGAGGTACCCGCGGATGACCTCGCACTGGATACCAACGGCAGAGCACATTTCGTACACAATGACCGCATACTCTTCAGCACTCGCTCGCTTTGACTGCAGTACCCTCCGAGTGTCGACTCCGCCTTCAAAGTCCTCTTCCCAGACAAGCTTCTCGGATACCCAAGTGAAGATTGCCCGCAGTCTCTGGACGTCGCTGCGGTATGGTCGACATACATAGGTTGTTGCCAAGCTCTGTGCTGTCGTCGTTGGTGGAAAGCTGGCCACAAACCTCGAGTTCTTGTCCACCTGAGTGAGATTTATTGATTGGTAGTCGATGGGGTCCTCCACAGGCTGACCGTCGGCGCCCTCGTCACCCTCCATGCCTTCGTACAACTCATCGACTGGGTTCAACGCAGGGTAGTCGAGCATTTGGCAGCGGTCTTTCCGCTCGTTCCTCTCGTTCTTACTCAGAGAGTTGGATCGATTGACGTCTCTGCGAACCTGAACCCAGTCCACTCCGTTTGCGAGCCCCATTTCCCTGGCTGCTTCCCTACCGAAGCCAGTGCTACCCAAGTTGGTCAAGTTGGAGACGCTAGCACCAGCTTGAGCGGCAACATTGGGCATGGAGCGAGCAAAAGGCGACGACCTGGGCGAGTCGGCACCCATGGCAATACTACTGCGCCCGGATGCCACCCCAGTCTTGGCTGTGTCGAGGAGCTTCTTGAAGATGTTTCTCTTTGGGGGTTTTGGGGTGACGAGGCCTCCAAGGCCAGCATCGTCATGAAAGCCAGCTTGCGACTTTGGCCGAGATGCTTCTGAGGCGTGACTGCTGTGATATGTAACCCCAGTGAATGGTGTTTCTGGGCGCTCGATGTCAGTGTCACGCATGCCGAGGGCACTCTGGGCCCGCTTCTGGGTTTTGCGAGCGAAGCTGCCAGCGCTCGTTGCGCTAATAGCGCCGGCTGACGACCCACTCATCAAACTCCTGTCGCTGCTTTGCGTCGTCGAACTCTGATTGCCTGAGGAGGCGCTGGTAGAGTTGGTCTTCGTCGTAAACGTCCTGTTCAGGACGTTGCGGCCAATGTCGTAAGCCGACTTGCGCCCACGAAGCTTCCTCTCCTCCGGTCCACCCATCGAAGACTTGGGTCTCTCGTATAACTGGCCTTTGGGGGGTGGCTTCGGTGCCTCATCCTCAAGGTCAGCCATACTTGCGCTATGTTGATGCATTTTTTTGAGACGACTTTCCATACGTTCGACGTAGTTACTCAGTTGAGGTAGCTGCTCTTTATCCTCCCGATGTCCGTTATGATAGGATTGGTCTCGTGACGACCCGCCGCTCCAGGTTTCGTACCCTTCGTCCTGTTGTGCTATGCCCATGGATGTCTGTGGTCTTTGGTAAGTGTTCTTTCTCCTAGCGCGGTCATTCACCATGTCAAACGACTCGGGCGACCAGGGATCCAGTGGGGGCTCTGGTGTCGGATCTCGAGGCATCCCCAGTGCGTCCAGCTGCTCGATCACGCCATCCATCGCCTCTCGCAAAGGCGAGGGAGTCATATGGCTTGCTGATGGCGAAGGTGGAGCTGGGGAGTGATGCCGCTGAGTCTGTATCGGCGATGGTCGATGAGCTTGGTATGAAAGATGAGAGCCGTGCCTGTCCAGAGGAGGATGGCGGTTATCATATGAGGCGCTCGAGTCCTGCCGCACGACATCAAATCGCTTGTCAAATGAGTTACCCGACCCATGTCGACTGGAATTAAAGCGGTTGTCGAATGAGCCGTGTGAGTCCTGACGAGAGCTATCGTGCCTGCTGTCGTAGGATATGCTTTGCTTGTGCCGTGAAGCCGCTACATGTCGGTGCGGAGGTGGGGCCGGGGGTGGAGGAGAATCCACCTTTTCTCGTGTGGGAGGACGGTAAGGCTTATAGCTAACTGAGGGAGCCGGTGACGGGCCTCTTGAGTGGAAGTTATGGGATGGCGGTATGGGAGACGGGCCCCTTTCTGTGTTGTAAGAGTTCTGTCTCGATCCGTGGCCGTGGCCGTGACCATAGTCGGGGACGGGTGTTCTTTCTCTAGGGGGTATTGGTGTTCTCTCCCTTGGAACGGGTGTTCTTCCTCGTGGCACAGGAGTCCTTCCTCTCGGCATGTACTGCTGTTGCGCGCCATCGTTGAACGAGTTACCCCGCGATACGTAACCGGTCGGGGCTGGCGACGTGTATGCCCGCATTCTAGTCGAGGCAGTTTCATTGAAAGAGTTCTCTCTCGAAAGGAAGGCTTCCGGGGCCGGTGACCGGTCTCTTCTGGTCTGCTCCGCCATTGCGCTGTGAATCGACTCTCCAGAGTGCCCCCTAGGCCTCGGATTTGGGTTCGTCCGGTACACCTCGGGCTGTTTCGCAGCGGTGTAGTGCGGTGCTTTGGAATAGGCCTCGAAAGGCTTTCGGAAAGTCCTCGACTTTTGAGGCGTGCTTGGGCTCGGTGTGTTCTCTGCTGGGAGAGGGCTGGCTGACCTCGTCGTTGGTTTAAAGTCGGCGGGGAGGACCTCAACGAAATTGGAGGGAAACACTCCCACAGTCCTTCTGTCGCGCCACAGTCTTCCCGTCCACCATGAACCATCCCCAGCGTTAAGACATTCGATCAAATCACCCTCGATGAAGCCGAGATCTCGTTTGGACTGCGGGAAGTCAAGTCAGTACTCTGAAAGCCAGTCCTCTCATCGAGGCTCGAACAGCTGCAACAAACCTCTCCGCCCCAAGAGTAGACTGCTCTGCACCAGCACGGGAACCGTGTCGGCAGAGATTGTGGTGCAGGCACCATGTTGAAGATTGGACGAATGCACCTGCAATCGGAAAGGCTGCTGGTAGGAATGCGACTGTTTGCGTGTTGATGTCGAGTGCCTCAGTGGTTGTTGGAGGAGGAGCGTGGCACTCGGCTCACGCAGTGACAAGTTGATTCGACGCGATTGTGTAAGTTGCAATGAGATATCGTGAGGGTCATGCAAAGGCGTGGACGCGCGCAAAGGCTGGTGGCAAGGAATGATGACAAGATCGAGCTCCCGCAGCGAAGCGAGAGGCAAGCGAGAGAGAGAATTCAGGGCTCGTGGGAATTTTTTGCAAGCCTCTGGGAGTTTGTTGTTGAGGAATGCAGGTGAGGCTCGCGTGCACGGCGACAATGACCTTGTTTGAGTGGGTAAAGGCAGTTGGTAAATGCGCGAGGTGGGCGTGGGCATGGGAGTTGACGTCGGGTGTGGTGTGGGAGATGGTCAATGTTGGCGGAACAAAGTACAAGTCGGGTGGAAAGTCGATCTGTCGGACACGACTTCCAAGAAGGGGATGCGGTGAATGTCAGCGAAGCCGGGGGTGCGGACCCGGGGCAACCAACAAACAGAGGGGCTCGTTGGCGGGGGGACGTCGGGAGTCTCCAGAGGGGAGTCCAAACACTGCACCTTGTGTACCTGTAAATCAGGGCCTAGGCTTACCTTACTTTACCTTACCTTACCTTGGTAAGGTAGGTAGGTACTTGCCGTAAGTCAGGGCAAGCTTGCAACGGGTTGCGACCTCCTGTGCGGCTGGCGCATCTCCACCGGCGACTAGTGGGACCCTCTCAGTGTCTCCTTGGCGCGGCGCTAAGCCTGGCATGGCACATCTGAGGCCCCTGGACCTTGGAGAAGTCTTGGAAATCTTTCGGTCACCGCCTGCGATGCCGAAAGCAAGGACCACTGACCAAGTATTTCGCACCTTACAGAGTACCTTACTTGGATTCGGTACCTTACCTTGACGCTTGAGGTGGGCAAAGACCCCGTCATCTTTCCCACTATTAACCTTCTCTTCAGCTTGCCTGATCCAAGTCGTGTTATCGCCCAGCTGCCCACGGAGTATTACGTCGCAGATACACAGATGCGTGGAGACTGGAGTAAGGTAGATTCTCCCTTGCAGTACGTATCACTCGTTGAGATACGACGGTCCATATAAGCCTGCACGTTGTCTTGACCAGCTTCGGCAAGGGAGAGAGGAACCCAACCCCGGCCAGCTTTTTAAGAAAGAGTCGATAAAAAAAGGCTTGTCTCCTAGCAGCAAACCTGGAAGGACCTGAGATGACAGCAGAAAAAAAGGGCAGAATGAGGCGTGAGTGAGGATGTTCTCTGTAGAAAAGCAGGGGCACTCGTAGGCACGTCGTTCTTAGTGCGATGAACAACGCAGCGCCGTCTCATGGGGATGCCCTGCATACCTTAGCTCAGCACCATCGCACACCAAATATACTACGTATTGTCTGGCGCCCACTCACTTGCCGTTGGCAACCAGAAATCTGCAAGGCAACGCAGCTAACGTTTGGCGCGTCGAATAAGGTCGCAGGAAACTTGGATGGCAAGACAGACTGACGGGCGACAAGAAAGTCTGCAAGCCGGATCAAGGTCAGATCAAGGTCACGCTCGCAATCCTTCTACCTCTCTGGCATGCAAACGACGCAAGCACTCACACGACAGCTATCAGTGAGCACACCTCTTTCTAATCACGTAGCACACTTTGCATTCTCGCCCTCGCCCGTTGTATCCGTACGTCTCTACCTCTCACTCCATCTCTCATGCATATCAAGGAAGCACTAAACACCAACCACTCCCACATCTTTCTATTCTCCTCCTCCGCTTTCTTTCTTGTTCGCGATTCTCACGATGCTTCAGAAACAGCGGCTCTCGACCGATCTCTCTTCGCTTGCTTTTTTCGTCGCAAGATCGGCTGACTCGCCCCGGTTCATAGTACACTACAAAGTACCCCCCCTGGTGCCAAATTGCGGTTCCCCGGAGCTCCCCCAGCTATACCAAAACGGAAGAAAGTAAACAAAGGGCCCGAGCTTTGCGACGAAGCACCGCCCAACGCCCAACTCGACACTCGACCACGGCACCACAGTACCACGGCCAAAGTGGGAGACCAAGGGGAAAAAAAGACCACTTTCACCTTGGACCAGGCCCTGGACTCCCGCTCGACAACCGAACAAGCGAACAAGCCCGCCCGCTACCGCCGCTGTCCCAAGCAACCAGACTGCTGTCGATCCGCTTGCTTTATTAAATCCAATTGCTTTTGGTCCGCCCTAAATACACAAGCCAGGCCGTCCTGACTGACACACGACAGCCCGTTCCCTGGATACCCATTTCTTCTCTCGAAACTCTCCTAGCATACTGTCGCTTCGCCCGCGCAACTCTCTTATCGAAATCCCTCGGTCTAGGACTCCCGGGTCGACCGTCGCCAGCTCCTCCCTCCCTCCCACTCCATCTTTGCTGCAAGGAATTCTGTTGAGCGAACAAAAACGATTCAATGACGTCCAAATCGGCCGCGATGGCCGACGAGGGTGTCGCCGAACACTACCAAGTTCTGGAGGAGCTCGGTCGTAAGTCTTGCCATTGTCTACGTCCTTTTGGAAACCGTTGCGCTGACTTCATATTCAGGTGGAAGTTTCGGTGTCGTTTACAAGGCCATTGAAAAGGCCACTGGCGAGACGGTCGCTATCAAACATGTAAGTCGACGCATCGCATCTTCGACTTGGTGTACCACGAACAACAGACTAACAAAGACCTGCGCAGATCGATCTCGAGTCAAGCGAAGATGACATTCAAGAGATTCAAGGCGAAATCGCTGTGCTGAGCACATGCGCGAGTTCCTTCGTCACGCAATACAAAGGCAGTTTCCTGCGCGGCCACAAGCTCTGGATCGTCATGGAATATCTTGGTGGTGGTTCATGTCTCGACTTGGTATGTCACTTGGCGCAACAAGTTTGCCGGAGTCCGGCTAGCTAACATTCCTCAGCTCAAACCCGCCAACTTTGCCGAGGTCCACATCGCCATCATCTGTCGAGAGCTTCTTCGTGGTCTCGAATACCTCCACGCCGAGGGTAAAATTCACAGAGATATCAAGGCTGCCAATGTTCTCTTGTCCGAGGCAGGAAAAGTCAAGCTGGCCGATTTCGGCGTCGCCGCTCAATTGACCAATATCAAGTCCCAGCGGAACACCTTCGTCGGCACTCCTTTTTGGATGGCTCCCGAAGTCATTCAGCAGGATGGCTATGGTTTCAAGGCAGATATCTGGTCTCTCGGAATCACTGCCATGGAGATGGCCAACGGCGAACCTCCTCTGGCGCACATTCATCCGATGAAAGTTTTGTTCCACATCCCGAAGAACTCTCCTCCGCGACTGGAGAACAACTTCAGCAAGGACTTTAGGGATTTTGTTGCACAGTGCTTGGTCAAGGACTCTGATCGCAGGCCTTCGGCCAAAGATCTCCTTCGTCACCGATTCATCAGATCAGCGGGCAAAGTTGAGGCTCTTCAGGAGCTGATTGCGCGCAAGCAGATGTGGGATGCAAACCAGAACCGGAGGTCCCATCCCACCTTTTACCAAGAGACCCTGCATACCATGTCTTCCAGGGACGACACGGACGAGTGGGTGTTTGACACGGTCAAGTCAGTGGCGCCAAAGCGGCCGAATGGTCATGCACGGAAGCCTTCCTACTTTGCGGCAGAAGAGGCCATGCGCCGGCTCGACCCCAAGGACGCGCCGCTCGGCCCTTCGTCACCCGCTCCCGGGACAGTTCGCCGGTCGACTGTGCGTCGCCAGCCCTCGAGCCGCCAGAGTTCCGGCACACAGATCCAAACAAACGGCTCACCTCGCTCGACCGTCGCCAGACGGCCTTTACAACCAGACATGTCGTACGGTAACTCTGGGTCCTCCGTGCGACTCTTCCGCCGGGTGCCCTCGGATGGCTCCGTCACCGCATGGGAGGACACTTCGCCTGAGGGTACCATGGGCAATGAGAACAAAGCACCGATGCGGGCAGCCGCGATTGATACCAATAGCAAAGAGGCGCTGCTTGGGCGGCGACTCTTCAACAGGGTCCTGGATCCTACCCTCGCCGAGCTTCACGCGCAGACGTCGGGCATGCAGAGGCGGGAGGCGCTTGCGAAGCTCACCGATGCCTTCACGCTTTTGGACTCTGTTGATCCCGAGGGTGCCTATCACCTCATGCAGAACATGATGACAGCTGTCTCCCAGGATCCCAAGCTGAACCAGGCCTTGATGCCCCAGCAATCGGTCAAGATTCCGTCGGATGGCACTCCCCAAGGAACGGTTATCATCAGGAGCGCCGCTCCCACGCCATCAAGCAGCCCGACCAAGCTGATGATGGCAGCAAACAACCCACACCTCAAGAGCCATAGGAGGCGCAATGGGTCGATTGCGACACCCGAATCTGCCGAGAAGGAACGTAGCGAGAAGACGGCTGTGGAAGCCAAGTATCCCGGTCGCCCTCCCCGGCCCGGTATGGAGCACTGCAAGCAGCTCTCGGACGTGCTTTACGGCCGGTGGACGGAGGGCTTGAGAATCAGATGGCCAGCGGTCTAGCTCCGATCTCTTTTTGACGGTCATCTGAAGGATATGGGTAAAGATTGACACAACATTATTATTCACGAGAAACATGCTGTATGATGAGAAGTGTATGAACACGTCGCAGCATACCGGGTTGGACAGCACACACAAAAAGCATTGGGAGAGAGTTTTCATTTCAGCTTTTGGCAGATTGGAGAGTTATTTTTACCACTGAGGGTTAGGCTTGATTCTTTTTCCTCCGGATTGAAGACGCTGATGATGGGACTAACTTTTCCCCGGCGATGATGTTACTTTCACGACGGGATGAGTATCTACACGCAGCCGATTCGGGTTTTCATGTTCGCTCTTCTGCTTCGCATTGGGTTTGGCGTTTTTTTGGGTCTTTGTTTGGTAGTAGTTAGATACCTCCTAGGTAGCGTTAAGATTGCGTTTTATCAACAATGAAAAGGGTTTCTTTGCGGTATAATTGATGTTCCCGTTTGCGTGCACATTGTGTGTGAAACATCGTGATATGGTATCTGAATTGGCCAATAAGTAGTGGTTTATGGCTCCTCCGCCAATGGGACATTCTTCATGGAGAGCTTTATTCTCCAATTGATAAAGTCGTCCGTCAAGAGCTCCCCGTGCCCGGCTTCGTCGACTTTAAAGACTTCGATGGTGGGCTCGCCCGCCCGCCTGCGTATCCTCCACACGCCGTCATCATTGATTGTCTGCCGAAGCCCTGCGACGAAGGGTTAGTGACGGCTCGATTCATACTCAAGCAGCTAATGTAGAAAGATTGGCGCGACATAAGGTAGGTTTGGAGAAATTATGGAAAAAGAAAGGAAGAGAGATCGAGATGGAAAAGGGGGGTAAGGGGGAAAGGGAGGAGAGAACTCACAGACGAGAAACTCGGCGGCGAAGTTGACGCACATGTCGCCGTTCCACGTCGCTTTCCCGCGGCGCTGGACGGTATCGGGTATCTTTTCCGTCTCAATCTCCTCGACGTCGGTGAGGATGCCGTGGCGGCTGCGGAAGCCGACGATTATTTTGGGTACGCCGAGGAGGAAGGACTGGATCCAGAACTTCATGAGCTTGCGGTGGAAGTTGTCGACGTCGCGGTCGTCGCGGATGGCGAGGCTGGTTTTGAGCTCGACCCAGTTTGTGGGGGCGCCTTGTTTTTGGGGCTTGGAGTCCCAGACTTTGGAAAGGGTAGCGTAATGTCAATGGGTGATGACGATAAGCTGGGTGGGAGAGATGAGGGACAACGTACCGGCGTCGACTTCGCCGCCTATGCAGATTACGGTTTGTCCTATACCAGTCCTGACTACGGAGCAGTATTGGGCCTTGTTGTTCACCACCTCGACGTCCCTGTTCTCGATGTATTCTCTGGGTGTTTCGCCCCAGGTGTCGGGGAGCGTGGCCAACGTCTCGAACTTATATCCTAAGCTTCCTATTAGCATACTTCATCTCCCTCGCAGAGGAAGAAGAGAGGCTCTGATATACCCCAGAACTGCATCACTTCGGGCGGAATCGGTCCCCGTCTCTGCTGTGCGTTTTGCTGCTTCTGAGACGCCACTTTGTACTCGTGATTCTCTTCAATGTAACTATTCCAATTGTCAGTCTGGCTGGATGGCATGGGCCCGTCACGGTGTTGCTGCGCTTGCCGTACATGCAGTCCTGAGTTCCGTTTGGGTCAGCTCAGTTGTTCATTTGCGGGAGGTATGGGAGTGTGTTCATGCGCACTTGGTACAGCGTTGCGTTCATTTCAAAGCTAGTTGTGCTGTCAGCTCCCAGTCATTTGAGTAAATCTGCAATAGTGGATGCAAGACTAACCCATCACGATCCTCAAAGGGCGATGCCATGATCTGTTGTTCTCTTGGTTAGTTGAGCCTGGGACAGGGATAGCAGGAGTAACTTCATGCCTTGGTCATCATGCCACGCCATGTCACGATTTGGGCGTCAATCTTCTGGCCCGTCTCCTCCTCGTGAGCCTTGATCGTCTTGAGAAGAGCTGTTAGGTGCTCGGGCTTAGAGTCGTCGTGCTTGATGAAGGTATCATAGCCTTTGGATAAGTCGGTGCCGAGGGTAGGCGGGTAGTAGTATCTCAATGAAGAGTCGCCCAGATGGAACTCATGGTTGTCATCATATGAGAAGCAAGCAAACTCCTGATCCGTGTTAGCCAAAATGTTTTAAATGAATTCATTGGCACGTGAGACTCATGTTGATGAGATATCCACCGCAATAAAGAAGGACGGGATGCATAAGGTACCTTTGGTCGTTTGACCGGTTGGCTTGCGGCATAGAAACGCCCAATAGGCTGGATAGGAAATTGTTCCGACATGACGGCGGATGATGCAGCGTAGCACTTGGATCCGGATTTCAAAAGGCGTCGTGTTATCCCAGCAGGCATCCCATTACTCAGGAGTCGGTGTGAGTAACGGGCTCGGTCGGCAGCCCCGGTCTCAAGCTTCGGTGTCGGGAGTTGAGAAAGGAGTGTCTGCGGCGCAACGGCGCGTCGAGACGGCAGGGCGGGTCAATTGGCATGGAGTCCGTCCGGGGTTGGTGGAGAACTGATGTCGACCGCTGAAGCGAACCACTGAGAGCCCCGGGTGACATCCAAACATCGCTGAAACATGCATGCGGACGGCTGGGCTAGAGCCATCCGACACCCCTAGCTGCAGCGGGACGCCAGCACCTTCCAGGTTGACAAGCCAGCTCCGTCCACTTCAACCACGAATACAACTTCATCGACTTGGAATCCTCACCCCCCTTCGCCCGATCACCAACAGATTGACAGCACGATTGACTCGAGAATAAGCGCCGCATCTCTCCTTTGAGCCGATCATCGCTCCCTACCGATACTTGCCGGTCCTCACTCCCTGACGACCCCTCGTTCGCGATGCGATTCCCCTCCCTACCGACCTAATTCGCTATACATACCTGCTCCCACACCATGTCCAATCGGTACGGCGGTGGCGGCGGCTACCGCAACGGCAACGGATATGGCAACTTTGGCAGGCAAGAAGAGGATTACGATCCATACGCCAATGGATATTCAGGCAACGACAGAGGAGGTGGCGACCGATACGCCGTGGGATCACCGCCAGCGATGAACCCCCGATCACCACCTACACTTCGAAGCGGCGGCCCGCCGCCAGTCCGCAGCCGCGAGCGCATCCAGGAGACGAACGCGGAAAGACAGATTGGACAGGTCCTCGAGCGCGTCAAGGTGGAGTGGCCGGCAATGTGCCAGACCGACTGCGTGCCTGTCCAGCTCGCCCTCCAGCTCCTCGACACCAGCTCCGTAGGCCGCGCGCACGACTACAACCAGTTCCGACAGACGCACGACTATCTGCAAAATTCCCTCAAGGGCATCGTCCACGAGCACCACCAGGGTTTCAACAGTTCGATCGGAACGTTCCACAAGATTCAAGGCAGCATCCAGGCCTCGCAGAAGAGGGTGCGCACGCTCAAGGACTCCCTGCTGACGTCCAAGGTGAGCCTCTGCACGTCGGACCCGGACCTTAAGAAGCTCTCGGCCACTTCGCAGGCTTATGATGAGCTTCTCACCACGCTTAACGAGCTGGAGGAGCTGCGTCTGGTGCCGGATCAACTAGAAGCCCGCATCTCCGAGAAGCGCTTCCTAAGTGCAGTTGAGGTCTTGCAGAATGCTCTGCGTAAATTGAGGAAACCAGAGCTGGACGATATCGGTGCTCTGAGCGATCTGAGGGGCTACCTTGCCAATCAAGATACGGCACTGATGGACATCTTGGTTGAGGAGCTTCATGAGCACCTGTACCTCAAGTCGCCGTATTGTCAAGAGCGGTGGCAGAACCTCGCCAAGACTCAAGGCGCTCTCAAGGAGGGCAACTACGAATCAATCACTATTGCTCCTTTCCACCAAGTCTTGGACGCCATGGATTTCGAAGCATCGGCGACTGAAGATCCGGCCAAAAACCCGGAGGCCGACACCTTCTCATACGTGTCTCTGCTCGTGGAATCCCTTAACAAGCTGGGAAGATTAGAGACGGCTGTCGACACCCTCAAGCAGAGACTACCTGTCGAGCTGTTTACCATTGTGAACGAGACACTTAACGAGGTCGACCAACGGCATCCCAGCTCATTGCGCGGCGGCTCGACTAACTCTCAAGGACTGCATATCTACGGCAGTCGAGAGACCCAAATGAGAGCAGATGTCATTTACGATCTCCTGTGGACGCTTTTTGGCAAGTTTGAGGCTATTGCTGAGGGTCACCGTGTCTTCCACGAGGCGATCAAGGCCCTCATCCGACGAGAAGGTGCTGGAAACAACAGCGCCCTGTTGGGTAGCTTCAAGGAGCTTTGGAATCTCTACCAGAACGAGATTCGTTCTTTGCTGCACAACTACGTTACCACGGACGCCGACGTGTACCAGTTCAGTACATCACCAAAGCTTGGGACCAATGCCAATGGTAAAAAAGATGCCGCTAGAGAGCACCTATTCAAGTTTTCTGAGGGTGACCCCAAGGCTGTTGACATGACGACTGAATACGAGGCTCTTGAGAGCATTATCCGATCTGCTGTTCCCGGTTTGACTGACACGTCTCGGAAGGCCGGGGCTGATAAGAAGCGGCCAGTACCCGAGGGCAGCACCAAGAGAGGAGGAGGCGCTACAGGTTGGGAGAACAAGCAGACAACTGGTACATACAAGTCTCTGGTCGAGCCCAGCGTCTTTAACATGAGCTTGCTCCTCCCTCCTACTCTTGTCTTCCTTCAGCGTCTCAAGATGATTGTACCACCGGGCTCAGATCTTGCCACCAGCACATTGACGTCCTTCTTGGATAACTTCCTAGTCAACGTCTTCCAGCCTCAGCTGGATGAGACTCTCGGCAAGTTGAGCGATACCATCTTTGGCGAAGCTGATACATTCTTGCAAGACCAGGAATGGACTCAAGTTGCCAGACGCCCCGTCTTCAAGGGCACGACAGCTTTCTTTGCCATTGTCACAGCTTTCTGCCGCATGCTGGGTACCATCCCACACGATCAGGCGTTGAGCACGCTCATCATTACTCAGATGATGAGATACTACGATCGTGCTTTTGGATGGTACAAGTCACTTGTGAGCAAAACTCAGGCGCAACCAGACAAGCCCACAAAGCTACGCATGTCGGCAGCGATGGCTCTAGAGGAGGGCGATGTCCAAGAAACCATTAAGCAACTGTGGACATCGGACACACTGGAGCGCGAACTTCTCGAGAAGGAAGTCGGTCTGCTCATTGTCCAGACCAATGAGAAGCGCATGGAGATGGCCGACATCATCCAAGACAAGGACACCATCTCTTCTCTTTGTCTTTTATATACCAGCATGAAGTGGCTTGCAGTCAAGATCTCAGGTCTGCGTCACATTACTCGCAACGAATCCGACTCTTCCCGCCCAAACATGAACCGAGGCTCGAGCAAGCGGTGGACGCTCATGAACGACCCCAA